AAATTCAAAAAATGACATAAAACTTGAATTGAGTAAGAAACCAAAATGGAAAAGTTGGAAAAACAAACGACGCCACTCGAAGAGGCGCTTTCACGCCCCGATCTATGTACTTCTCGCCTCTTTTTCGAGCATTCTGGTCAGTAACTTGCCCAAATAATTGTTACAAACGGACAAAACAAACGGGAAAACAAGTGGATTATCGAAAAAAATCCAAAATTTAACAAACATTTAACAAGATATTTAACAAACAATCGAAAAAAATCCTCTTGATTTCCTCGTTGGAAATATTGAATCGGGATTGAATTTTGTAAATTTGAGAGGCTCTAATTGGTCGAATCGATGTGTGAAATAGGAAAAAGAGGCGAGAAGTACACAGATCGAGAAATACACTCTTCGTTTGGCGTCGTTTGTTTTTCCAACTTTTCCATTTTGGTTTCTTACTCAATTCTAGTTTTATGTCATTTTTTGAATTTTGACTAAAATACCGTACGCTTAACAATTGCACGCGTAGAGCCGAAGGCTTGTCAATCGATGGATTGGCTCCTGCGCCTGGGGCTTTTGTTTCTCGTCAGAAACTTGGGCACTCGGGCACAATCAAATGGTAAGGCTTGATTTTTATTTACTCTTTAAGATTTAGAGCCTGGACATTGAATCGGTTTCTGGATATTTTTAATTTTCCTGTTAAAACGATGAAGTTTATCATTCAGCAGAAAGGAGAAATTTTAAGGATATTCAGAAGCTGATACCATGTTCTTGCATCTCTTTTACGTATACTTTTCGGATTGAATCGTATCAATTCGGATCTGATCTGATTCGATCCGAGAATGCGACTTCGGATCGGGTCAGATCAATCGGATCGGGTCGGATCAATTCCAACCCGATCCAAGATACTATCCAACTCTCATATAGCGTAGCAAATTGTCGAGGAAGTGACCGATTCGCCTTTGACCTTGCCTTTTATAAGGCAGTTTTAGATTCAAGCAAACGGCAGCTTTACCACTCTTTAAGAAGTGGCTTTGTGCGTTTATGGTAGCACGATTTGCTATACTATATGAGAGTTGGATAATATCTTGGATCGAATTGAATTTGATCCTATCCAATCCGAAAAGTCTCATTCTCGGATCGGATCCAAAAACCATGTTTAGTTGAAATGCCAACTAGTAATTTTCAATCGAGCAAAATGATGAACATCTGATATGTAGAAGCGCTTAAGGTAAGCAAACGGCTGAGCTCTTAAAATTGCATTTAGCATTACTCGTGAGATTGTTTCATTTTCCATGATGTTGACCTTCTGCCGGAAGATGATAGAAATTTCTACATGAATGATTTCTACAGAAATTTCTAGTGTCGCAATTGACAATTTTAAGTACAAGTTTGCTTTCGGATTCAGAAGTTTCTATAGAAACCCTACTGAAAGTTTCAGAGCACCATACAAAAACACTTTTGGCGGAGTTGTAGCACTCAATCAGAGGCATATGAAACAATTGAATGGATTCTCAAACGATTATTGGGGTTTAGAGAAAAGAGGACGATGATATGGTAAAAAGGTTGACCGAAAAAGATAAGCTTATTAGATGATTTAGGTTGTCTCATGTTGGAATGAAAATTTCGCTGGTGCTCTGTACTGGTGCTCTGCGAAACAGTGTGAAACAATTGTGCTGGCTCTGTGAAACAATTATTTAAATAAAACAAATGTTTGTGCATAAAAAGGTTTTCAAAGTGTACATAGTGTTTTTAGGTCAATGAACTGTGGAAAACACACGCAAACTAAAAGTACTTCTGTAAAAATCTAAAAAACATAGTCCAAGTCCAATTTCATCCTTTTTTTTGCCTTGTTTCGATGATTTTAAAATCCCAAAAGCGAGTTTTATGCCACAACAAAACTTTTTGAGTGCTTTTCAAGAGCTGTCTTTTGACCTTGACTTTTTGCCAGGCACTTTTTGCTTTTATTTTTTTTGTTTTTGAAACAGTTTTTGTTGCGTTGACCCAAATTTTAGATACAATCTCGGAAAGTTTTTTTTTTGCCGTTTGCAAAAAGTCTTAGCAACTTTTATGAGAACTGGCAATATTTACAAGCGTCACATTTACAAGTGACATTTCGTAATTGTGATTTGAGACGCCTTTCCCTTTTGTATGCAAATGATTTTTCTGACGAGCCAACCTCCGAAAAAGCGTTTGATTGCCATGATTTTAACTATTCTATTATTAGTTTTTATTTCTTACAAATTCAGGTATTTTAACATTAGATGTAAATAAAAAGTCAATTTCGCTTAAGTTTTCAGAAAATAAATCTCCAAGTCGTCTTTTCAAAAACTTTTTACGGAAGCATTGAAAATGTAAAGGACGAAAAGCTGTTGGCTGGCCGAATGCAAGGTCTTCATAATGGAAATCAATTAGGAAATCGAGTGTACGAAATTCTGGGGTTGGCTGCAATTGCAAAGAAATTAGGCAGGTGGGAAAAGTTTGAGAAATCTTTTGAAAAAACAAATTGACCAGGAAACCGACTTTCCTCCTTGCAAGTGATCCTTTCAATGAACCCGTCATTAAACAACTTTGGCTCACTTTACTATATTTCCCAAGGATATTGGATGGCTTTTATCTAGAACGTGAAAAGATTGACGCTAGCGTAAGTTAAAGAAATGTTTTACCATTTCTGTCATTTTGAGATTGCGTTTCTACCTCTCGTGAAATTGAAAGGCGATGTCTCTACATATTTCAACTTATCATTATTGGAGGATCTGAAAAGTGAAAGGATTATTGTGATGGAAACAGGATTATTACAAGTGATTACTCTAATTATAATCTACTATATATAAAAGAGCTAAGACGTCTGTCCGTTTGTGCGCGCTACTCCTCCGCGCCCAGTGGGGCGTTTCAAAGGATTTATAGAGAGCTTGGCTTAGAATTTCATGTAGATGTGCAACATGTTTTTAAACTTTTAAAAAACCAAAAGTACCGACGCGGGCGGAAGTCGAACCCGGGTCGTGTGGGCTAGAGGGCTAGAGGCTAGAGGGCTAGAGGCCCGTGTGGGCTAGAGGCCCGTGTGGGCTAGAGGCCCGTGTGGGCTAGAGGCCCGTGTGGGCTAGAGGCCCGTGTGGGCTAGAGGCCCGTGTGGGCTAGAGGCCCGTGTGGGCTAGAGGCCCGTGTGGGCTAGAGGCCCGTGTGGGCTAGAGGCCCGTGTGGGCTAGAGGCCCGTGTGGGCTAGAGGCAAGTGCGCTCGCACTGAGCTAGCTACTAGAGCATGGCCAAGTGGTTAACCCGCGCGTCTCTCAAACGAACGGAAGAGGGAGGTCACGGGTTTGCCAATTCTTTTGCTTTTTGCTGAAAAGCAGCAGCGAAGCTTCTGGTATTCTAATAAAAGAAAATCAAGAAGTAAACAACTAATCATTAGAGATTAATGCAAAGAAGTGCCAAGTTACTTCTTACAAGTCCATTCCCAGAACTTTGATTATCTGAATGATTTGGGATGGTCTGATGTTGTGCATCGTTTGAGCTTTTCAAAAGCAACAATTGAGGCCGCCAACTTTCTCGTTCCTGACAATTTCACAAAAAAAGATAAAAGGTTTGTAAAGGAAATGAAACGAGTATTGTGCAGATTTTGTATTCATCTCCGAAGAAATGATTTTGGCGAATTGGCTTTGCAGAAATTGCAGAATTGCAGATTTTGTATTCATCTTCGAAGAAATGATTTTGGCGAATTGGCTACAAACTTTTCATTTGTAATTGATGCACTAAATTTGATAATCAAAAATGGTAAGTCACAAATTGAAAATCACAAATCACAAAACAAAATAATCGACTTTCTAGCAAATGCTAGAAATCAAGCTTTAATTTAAATTTAAAGTTTTAGTTACAAATTTGGGCATCACAATTTTTAGCGATGATCCGATTTATATTGAGAAAATGATCAAAACAGAAAGATACGCAAGTATGGTTAATTAATTAATAAAATGACAATAATGCTTTCAGAGTTTTCCCTTATCACATGGTTACCCAGAAGCGATCATCCCATTCATCTTGTTTGGGCCTTTTTTTCAAATTATTGCACTCATATCCTGATTACGAGTTTATTTCATACAACAAGTATCAAATGAATACGAATTTTACAGATATTCAATCCACTTTCGGTTTTTTTGGCGCTTATTTAGCTCCAAAAAACGTAACCGTCTACTTTAATACACGACTCGGATGGAAACATTCTGTACCTACTCCCGATTCGTGGATCGCAATTAATTTATAGTTCTTAAATTCTTCATTCAATAGAACCAATAAATTTTCAATTAAATGTATTGAATCTACTTGAAACTGAATCACTGAAAACTGCATGTTCAGCGGCAAGTTATTTGGATACTTTTCCGTTATACATTCGCAAAAATAACCCCCTGATCATTTAATAATCAAAAATCGATCAATTAAATCAAAATCAAAAATAAATAATTAAAAAAATAAAAATCAACATAAGATGCATGAGAAATTTGTTGCAACACCCATTCTTAGAAACCGTCCTTTTCCCCTTTTTGTCGGACCATGAATTCAGAAAGGTATCTCCATAGGAAACGATGCTTCTTGTTTCTCCATTTGGCAGATCCCCATAAACCCTCGATTGCCTGCGTGTGAATGGCAGAGTCATCTGGATTCAGAAAGTTGTACTTCTGTTTGCAAGATGTAGCGTTGTTGAAAGAACGAGATAGCATCGGCCTCAGTAATCAGTAAGCGAAACATGAATTCACCGCGCCATCAGGAAATAGCAAAAGAAGGAATTTTCTGTGGTTCTTCTGGTTCATTTTCATGGAAGTATGCAAATTTGGCGGAATGCAAATGTATAACGGAAATGATCGGGGGTTTATTTTTGATGATGTTTAACGGAAAAGAACCGTTATTCGTTTTTGAAATAAAAAGCTGGTCGTTTGTTATTTCAAAATGAGGATCAAATAATTTGAGTGCTTTATGAGGATTCGATTTCAAGACGGATTTTATTTTATTGTCTCTCCAAAATCTCAAATCAGTGTATAGTGGCTTTCTTCAGTAGGCACAGCGTACAACCAATCATCGAGATCTTTCAAAGCCGAATAACATATTCGACCCGTTGGTTTCAAACAATCTTCTCCAGGAATTTCGCTTTTTGCTCTAAACTTTTTAATTCCCATTTTTGGCCACTTATCGTTAGTTGTAAATTACAGTGTACCCAAGTTTGAAAACTAGGGTATACTGTAGCCAAGTTATCTAGTTGTTCATTGATCACAACAATATGAGTATAACCTTTCCATGCAATCATCAATAACGGGCTGAGTCTGCTGGGCTCTATATGGTGGTTCATTATCTCCAAAAATCTCTTTCAACGTTGTACGTAAAGCAGTGATTTGATGAGGCTAAACATCCCAATAAGATTTGTAAAATAATATCAAAAGCCTCAAACAGGTGCATTCCCGGGAAAAGATTTGTTTTATCAGTCAAATTCACGAAATCGGTTCGCATGTGAAGAAGAAATAAATCATCTGTTGAGATCTGAAAGTGTGCTTTTTTGAGGCAGAATTCCTTTTTCGGACCTCTAAGCTTTTCCATTGACCAAAGAATTTCTTCACCGAATGAATCCAAGGTACTCGCACGGTTTCGGTTTTCATAATATACTAAACAGAAATACAAATGAGGCCCATAATATGAACATCTAAACCTTTCCGTCTCTTTTCATAGGATATGCAATCGAACGCTTCAAAAAGTCTAAACTCGAGAATTGGCGATAGTTCCAGAGTCTAGGTGTCAATCCACCATCAAATCCAAGAGCAATGTGCTTCAGTTGAAAGGAGCCTGAGAAGCGTCAGGTCATACGTGAACAGGTTCTTTTGAATTGGACAGAGTCGTCAATCCTAACATTACCAAATCTAAGATCTACTTACCAACATTTCCATAATCAAGCCTTTTCACTGCATTCACCAAAGATTCATTTGGACGACCAAAATATGGAATATAACTTAATGATTTTTAACTAATTTTACCTGACATGCACTATTTCATCGATATCAGTCATCATCGTGTATTTTGCATCCGACCAAACACCGCACATGAATGTTTGCAAATGTTGGGCTGCATTGAAAATGCGATTATTTGGATTGAATTCTTTAGTAAATGGCATGAGTGGAAATGGGCGGATTTCGAGAAAACCCTGAAATTTGCTTATTGAAAATTCCATTATTATGTTAGACGATTGAATTTGTTCAAGAAAATACTAATCTGCCGAGTTTACTTCTTTCTCATAGTAATCTAGGAGTTGTTTAGTTGTTGAAGACATCGAATGAACGTATAGCAAAACCTTCCGAACATTTAGAGCTCTCCATTTCTCTAGACTCAAAAATACTCTTGGCCAATCATTGTACCTAAGATTGAAAGTACAATATATACCCTAGTTATTACCAATGAAGTGTTTCGATAATGCAAACATTGACGTCATCTAGATATCTTGTGGGCAACCGATGTAATTTTACTTGGGCAAACTTTTCACCGTGAATGATCCGGATCTGAAACAGCCTTATTATATTGAGTTGGTGAGTTGAAAACTGCCGGACTTTAAGCTAAAATTTGTTCAACATAAAACCATAAATTAATTCCAAATAATTTCCATTATTATTGACGACTTCTGCCCATTTTACAGGCAATTTGCGGATTCCTCTTTCGTAGTAGGATTTTGGTTTGTGTGTGAGACAAGTGTGAGACTCAAAAATGGAGGACTGAAGATGTCCCAGTCCGGTTCCCGTTGAGCACTTTCTTCAAAAGAAACCCATTTTGGTGTTAATAGGAAAGTTGTTTTTTGAATTTTGAATGATTTTGATCTGGATACTTTGAATGGATTATTTTTAAAGTCTGTTTAAAAGTTAACAACCTTGCTAGAGCTAGAGCAAAGCTTTTTAAATTTGGCGTCTCTTTATCAATGTGTGTACACTCAATCACCTCATCAGGAACAGATCCTCGATACACTATTGTTGACATTTCCATTTCTTGAACAAGACATCGACCACCAGCCCAACCCTTGCAACCAGCCACTGAAATACAAAACTGATTTTGAGTTGAAGAAAAGAAACACAATGTGATTATATCTGCCAGACTTGTGTCAGAAATTGTTATTTTAAACTCAAATCAGGTCTCGGCACCAATCCTTGGCTTTAGCTTGTCGCTTGAGTGAAAACCGAGCCAATTTTACCCCTTGAAATAACCCCATTTCAACTCACTTCCAATAACCTCAGCCCATTCTAACGGCAAAATGGTCTTCTCATCCAAAACAACAAAAATCTCTTCCTTGTCCAATGTACTACAAACAGCATTTCCAATGAAACGAATCCTTCCCCCCAGAGGGTCTCTGAAACAATTTGACATTTTTTAGGCAAAAATTTCTTTACCTTGTATCATAAAAAGCATAGTAGACAAATATTTCCTTTCCTTTCAAAGATCCTGATGGCAATTGAAATCTTTGCAAGTTCAACGGCTCAAAAATCTCCTCATTATCGGAATAATTGTAAGCCATCGATTTTGGAATAACATTGCGCAAAAGAGCTAAACATACCTTAATTGATAATTGTATAAAAAAAGGACTCAAACTTTTTCCTCTCAACTTTTCCTCCCCTTTTTCCTCCAAATTTAGTGATCCGTTCTCAAAAGTGATTCGGTTTTCAGGCAAAATATTGCGATTCAGCTTGATCAACAAAGCTAATAAAAGATAAACAGAAATAAGGAAAATTGAATAGAAAAATAGAATTACTCTCATTTTCATGTTCCGTTTTTAAAAATAATAATTGTCTAGGTAAAAGGCTGGACTGAGAGGCTTTTTTTTTTGCAGTGTCGAGAGATCTCAATCTCAATGACCTCAATCGGGAGCTCAATAGGTATGGGTTCTTGTTGGTTTTTGCAAAAAACTTGCATCTAAAATGCTAATTTGGTATGTTTTGCTCTAATAATTTGCAATATTTGCGATATACTGGGTAATTAGCTTTGTGAGAATACAATACGTAAGAATCAAAACACTTCACAAACACTTTGAAAACAGATCACCAAATTTGTATTTTCTTAAGCGATCATCACTGAAAGAAAATACTATCAAACCACTCTACCTCTAGCTCTTTCCAGTCTTGACAATAGCTGGCCATTTTCGTAAACTATGTTGTTTTTGAGTCTTGATAGGAAAAATAAGAACAGAATACCATAAAGAACAAATATCAGATTATCCTGTTGAGATTTGCGCATTTTTTAGCCTATAAAGGTGGATTTTTTCTGCCCGCTCTAAACGATAACAGAACAATTTATTATAAAAAATACTGAGCAATCGATAAGAATGAGATTCTAATCAAATCGGTATATAATGACTCCCTTCGGTTGGCACAGCAAAAAGCCAATCGTCGAGATCTTTCAGCACATCGAAGCATCCATTTCCTGTTGTTTTGAGGCAATCTTCTCCCGGGGTATCAGACAGTGCACTAGGAAAATTGTTTGAATTTGCATTCTATATTTTTGAATCTTGTTTATTGAATTGATTATTGTAATTCTGATTCCTAACCTTTTCATGCACTCATGAAGTATCGGATCAGTGAGTGACGGTCTAAAAGATGGCTCTTCATCTCCGAAAATCTCTCGTAATGTTATTGATAGTTCTGTTGTGTTCAAATTCTAAATTTTTTCATTAAAATCACAACTTTCAAATAAACCTGAAATATTTGATCTTCAGGGAAGAGATTCTGTTTCTTTTTGATATCATTGTAGCTATTTCTGAGGTGGAGTAAAAGGATGTCATCAGTGGAAATCTGGAAAAGCCGTTGAAATATACAATTGTTCATTTGTAACTCATAAAAATACCTGTACATCATTTGACTTTCCAAAGTATTTCTTCATTCCATGAATCCAAGGCACCCGAGCTTTCCCCGTTTTCATAATGTACTAAATGAAAGATTAAGAAAAATGAAAAATGACCTACTTTTCCATTCACATCTACTTTATAGGGAATAGCGCTTTTCAAGAAATCGAATTTCAGAAATTCTCGGAAATTCCATGGATTCGGGATCATTCCATGTAGAAATCCGAGGGCATTGTGTTTTAAAGTAAACGAACCTGAATGATTTAGCCTTAAAAGTTCTTTTGAAAACAAATCTTTTTATTTTATCTAGATTTTATAATTAAATTATTCACAGAGCAGACTCAACGCAGGTTCGGAATATTCACTGACCCAGGTCTTCCTCATCCATTCTCTCCACCACTTTCAATAAAGTTTCGCTGACGTTCCTAATGTTAAAACCAATTTTCAGCACTCTTTTGAAATTATTTACCTCACATACAAGATTTCATCAATATCATTCATTGCCGTATATTTTGTATCAGACCAAACACTACACATAAATGTCACCAAATGTTGAGCTGTGTAAAAGATGTGATTGTTTGGATCGAATTCGTTTGTGAATGGCATCATTGGATATGGTCGGATCTCTAATAAACCCTAAAATAAAAATATTTTGGAAATTTTATTAAACAACACCTTTTGGTACTTTTGTATTATCTGGGGGGATGGCAATGGCAAAATAGACGTTTTATGGTTACAGAAAACGCGCTTTTGACATTAGAATTCACATTAGTTCAATAAAGAGCAAAAAATGAAATTCAATATATAAGCGCCTGAGATGAAAACAATTTGTCCCACTTCACTTCAAAATTAAATTCTCGAAAACCAGCGCTTTTTGGAAAAGGATGCAATCGTCTACTTTGTCAACAATGGATTGATTCAAGTGCCGAACTGTTTGAGAAGTGATCGAATATCGCTTGAATCTTGAGGAGCGGTTCAATATCATTGGGGATGCAATCAATGTGTCTACATGGGACTTCCAGGCTCCATTCGTGCCATTTGGATGAACAATCAATTTGAGGATTCAAGTTCGTCACGATTCTCAAGTTCATTCATCTGTGGGCAAACGGAAATTCGATAATCAAATTTTGTGAGGAAGAATTAGAGATGGTTTCACAAACTATTGTTGTTTGGAACTTTTGTTTGCCTGAAGCTCTGTGAACCAAACTCAAACTCATGCAATTGGAGGCTCCGTCTGTACTGTTGACGAATCACTCTTCGCAAATCGGAAATATCATGTCGAGTGAATGGTCGATGAGAAGTGATGTTTTGGCAGAGTGTGCAGGAAATTAAATAAAAAGTTTTGTGTGCTCGTTCCCGACCGATCAGCTGCTACTTTGATTCCAACTATCGAGAACATTGCTCCTGGAACTCGGATCATTTCTGATTGATGGCCTTTGTATCGAATTCTTGCTTCCCACCCCGACTATCAACCACACAACAAACTTGGTCGATCCCGTCGATCCAACCATCCACACACAAAATTTTAAGAGTATTGGGCATCCATTCAAAGAAGTAAACCGTCACCGCCACGGAACCCATCGAACAATGCTTGATAGCTACATGGCTGAGGGAATCTGGCAGATGAACTTTGCTGATCGTCTAGTTTTTGCCGCCATTCTCGAAGACATCAAAAATTTCTGACTCACCGGAACTCCCAAAGGATCCCTTCCATATTTGTAAATGCTTGAATAAACTTGTTAAATCGATTACAATAAACAACACTGAAAGACAGAAAATGATGCAAACTGTATGAAATGAAAGAATGCAGTTCAGATGAAAAAGTAAAAGCTATAAGCAAACAAAAAGCAAAATCAAATAAAATCAAGTGGAAAATGAACGGAAAATATCCCCTAGCTAATTTTTTCTGAGATTCCCCCCCCCCAGATAACACAAAAGTACCCACCTTTTTGATATAGTAATCCAAAACCCTTTTTGTGTCTTGTGACATGGAATGAACGTGAAGTAGAACTTTTCGAACCTTGTTGACTCTCCATTTCTCAAGAATCAAGAACACTCTTGGCCAGTCATTGTACCTGAAATCACTTGCTCCCTTAACTTTGACTATTGAAAGGCATTCAAATCATTCAACCAACCAAAATAATGGTCCCACGATACAAACATTGATGTCATATTCGTAACTACGAGGCAAACGATGTAATTTCACAATGGCCCAAGAAGAGCCGTGAATGATTTTGATCTGAATACTTTGAGTGGATAATTTTTAAAGTTTTTCTAAAAGTCACCAAAGTGCAAAGCTTTGCAATGCTAGAGCAAGGCTTTTTAATTTTGGGGTCTCTTTGCCAATGTGCAAGTAAACTAAATCACCTCATCAGGAACTAATCCTCGATACACTATTGTTGACATTTCCATTTCTTGAACAAGACAACGACCACCAGCCCAACCCTTGCAGCCAGCCACTGAACCACAAAACTGGTTTTGAGTTGAAGAAAAGAAACACAATGTAATTGTATCTGTTGTGACAAAAATTGCTTTTTTTTTAACTCCGATCAGGTCCAGATCCCGACACCAATTCTGGACTTTAGTTTACTTAGCTTGACTGAAAACTCAGCCAACTTTCCCGCCTTGAAATAACCCCATTTTCAACTCACTTCCAATAACCTCAGCCCATTCTAACGGCAAAATGGTTTCCTCATCCAATGCAACAAAAATCTCCTCCTTGTCCAATGTACTACAAACAGCATTTGCAATGAAACGAATCCTTCCCCCCAGAGGGTCTCTAAAACACTTTGATTTTTTAAGAAAAATTTCTTACCTGGTATCATAAAAAGCATAGTAGACAAATATTTCCTTTCCTTTCAAAGATCCTGATGGCAATTGAAATCTTTGCAAGTTCAACGGCTCAAAAATCTCCTCATTATCGGAATAATTGTAAGCCATCGATTTTGGAATAACATTGTGCAAAAGTGCTAAAAAAATACCTTAATTGATGATCGTATAAAGCAAAAACTCAAACTTTTTCCTCCAAACAAATTTAGTGATCCGTTCTCAAAAGTGAGTCGGTTCTCAAGTGAAATATTCAGCTTGATCAACAAAACTAATAAAAGATAAACAGAAATAAGGAAGATGGAGTAGAAAAATAGAAGTACTCTTTTGTTCATGTTCAATTTTTAAAAATAATGATTGTTTAGGCCGTTTGTTGAAATTTGTTGAAATTTGTGCATTTTGGGTTTTTTTTGAAGCGCCGAGAGATCTCAATCTCAATGACCTCAATCCCGATTCAGCTCAATAGGTATGGGTTTTTATCGGTTTTTCCCGGAAAACTTGCAAATTTTCGATGTTGTAGGCTAATTTGGTATGTTTCTCTCTAATAATTTGCAATATTTCGATATACTGACCAGTTAGTTTTGTGAGAATACAATAATTAAGCGATCATCACTGAAAGAAAATACTATCAAACCCCTCCACCTCTAGCTCTTTCCAGTCTTGACAATAGCGGGCCATTTTCGTAAACAATATTGTTTTTGAGCCTTGATAGGAAAAATAAGAACAGAATACCATAAAGAACAAATATCAGATTATTCTGTTGAGATTTGCGCAGTTTTAAGAATAAAGAATGAAAATATCATGGAATTTTATCAGATCTTAAATCAAGTATTCGGGCAGTTTCTTTAATGATTTAATAAAATAGAGTCATCAAAAGAGCATAATCTTTTGATTGCTTTTCAATCTACAATGCATATTGACCTAAATCATGCATTTTCTTTAAAAAGAAGTTCTCTACTAAAGGATAATTCAGAGACGAATTAACTCACATCCGTCCCACGCAGACTCTCGTGTCTTTTTCCCAAGTGGGCAATACTTCAACTATTGCTAAAACATTATCCAAATTTGTCAAAAGAATAATATACGATTCAATTCAGTTGGTAGTATTTAAATCTTCTCATAGAAAGGCCACGGGAAAAGGCTGAAACTGACCGTAAGGAGCAATGACATCGAAAAGAGTAACTGTATTCGAAGGTCACTGAAAACTTAATTATCTAATTGTTTGTTTAAGAACAAGACAAGAAAATCGATTATTTTACTGATCATTTAAATATATTGAATCAAGATTAGGGTTTTTACAAAAATCTGTCAGCTACATTTTCTTGGCTTTCGTTAAAATGATTATCGAATCGGTGGAAGAGGCCACAAGACATTGAACTATTTAAATGAGTCCATGTTTGGATACAAATTCTTCCGCGCTCCATCCATACATTGCCATGGCCAATGGAGCCGCGAGACTAAAAGTCTACATCTAAAAGCCAAAGCTAAATATCGTTGCAAAAATTGAAAGCTCTGAGCCAAGGTGCAAAGCTTTGTTTGTGGTTTTAGATTATTCGCTAAATTCGCTTTTTAGAAAAGTGGATACTCTGTTAGTACTAACTTTAGCAGAATCGAACAAACATATCAAGCAGCCAAATTGAACGTAGTGCTAGATGGAAGGCTGTTTCACGAATGTGGCTTTTCAAAACAACAAAACAAGTACCGGATTTAGACTTTCAGAAAGTGAATTACTTGAGAAGGACACACTCAGTACAAGATTTGAGGTTGCGATTAGGTTAATCGCAACCTGGATCTAGGGTTTCTTTTCAACATTTTCCGTTGAATCCATATTGCGCTTGCTAGCTTGCTTGCTAAATTGACAATTTATTCAGAACATGTCAAAGTTATGTATTCATAAACGACATCTATTCTCTTTTTTCACTTTAGCTATTTTCATTTCCGTTTTGGTTTATTGTTATGCAAAGTTGAGTTCAAAAAGTATGCATCGATTTTTGAGGAAAACTAAAATGCTGAAATTTAATCTAATGAAAGGTTTGTGAAAGTTTGGAAAATGGTACCAAAGCACAAAATAAGTTATATTTTATTGAGAAAAAAAAGCGTTTAGAATCAATTGAAACTCAAAAATATTCTAATAATCAGGACATTTTTGAGCGGCTGAACTTGCAAAGATTTCAACTACCACCAGGATCTTTAAAAGGAAATGAAATCTTTGTCTACTATGCTTTTTATGATACAAGGTGAGGCAATTTTTCTTAAAAAAACTAGTTCATAGAGATTACAGTATGCTAAGATGACTCTGACTCTTTCTAGAGATCCGCTTGGACCAAGGATTCGATTCTTAGCAAACGCAGCTTGTAGTTTTTTAAAAATGGATGAGATTTTTGTTTATCTGGATAATGGAACGGCTCTCCCACTGGAATGGGCTGAATCTATTCAAAGTGAGTCTGGGTTTTTGATGTCGCAACCAGTAGAACAGCTTTACCATTGAGCCATCTATCAAAATTTTTTCAGTGCCAGGATGTAAGGGTTGGAATGATCAGCATTGCTTTATGAATGAAATGGAAATGTCGACAATTGTTTATAGAGGACATGTGCCGGAGAAAGTTGGTCACTTTTTAAACAAATTCGAAAAAATATCCTATAAAAAGGCTGTTTCAGATCCGGATCATTCACAGTGAAAAGTTTGCTCAAGTAAAATTGCATCGGTTGCCCACAAAATATCTAGATGACGTCAATGTTTGTACTCTCAAAACACTTCATTGGTAAGAATTAGAGTATAGATTGTACTTTCAATCTTAGGTACAACGATTGGCCAAGAGTATTTTTGAGTCTAGAGAAATGGAGAGCTCTAAATGTTCGGAAGGTTTTGCTATACGTTCATTCGATGTCTTCAACAACTAAACAACTCCTAGATTACTATGAGAAAGAAGTAAACTCGGCAGATTAGTATTTTCTTGAACAAATTCAATCGTCTAACATAATAATGGAATTTTCAATAAGCAAATTTCAGGGTTTTCTCGAAATCCGCCCATTTCCACTCATGCCATTTACGAAAGAATTCAATCCAAATAATCGCATTTTCAATGCAGCCCAGCATTTACAAACATTCATGTGCGGTGTTTGGTCGGATGCAAAATACACGATGATGACTGATATCGATGAAATAGTGCATGTCAGGTAAAATTAGTTAAAAATCATTAAGTTATATTCCATATTTTGGTCGTCCAAATGAATCTTTGGTGAATGCAGTGAAAAGGCTTGATTATGGAAATGTTGGTAAGTAGATCTTAGATTTGGTAATGTTAGGATTGACGGCTCTGTCCAATTCAAAAGAACCTGTTCACGTATGACCTGACGCTTCGCAGGCTCCTTTCAACTGAAGCACATTGCTCTTGGATTTGATGGTGGATTGACACCTAGACTCTGGAACTATCGTCAATTCTCGAGTTTAGACTTTTTGAAGCGTTCGATTGCATATCCTATGAAAAGAGACGGAAAGGTTTAGATGTTCATATTATGGGCCTCATTTGTACTTCTGTTTAGTATATTATGAAAACCGAAACCGTGCGAGTACCTTGGATTCATTCGGTGAAGAAATTCTTTGGTCAATGGAAAAGCTTAGAGGTCCGAAAAAGGAATTCTGCCTCAAAAAAGCACACTTTCAGATCTCAACAGATGATTTATTTCTTCTTCACATGCGAACCGATTTCGTGAATTTGACTGATAAAACAAATCTTTTCCCGGGAATGCACCTGTTCGAGGCTTTTTGATATTATTTGACAAAAGTCTTATTGGTAATGTTTAGCCTCATCAAATCACTGCTTTACGTACAACGTTGAAAGAGATTTTTGGAGATAATGAACCACCATACAGAGCCCAGCAGACTCAGCCGGTTATTGATGATTGCATGGAAAGGTTATACTCATATTGTTCTTATCAATGAACCACTAGATAACTTGGCTACAGTATACCCTAGTTTTCAAACTTGGGTACACTGTAAGTTACAACTAGCAATAAGTGGCCAAAAATGGGAATTAAAAAGTTTAGAGCAAAAAGCGAAATTCCTGGAGAAGATTGTTTGAAACCAACGGGTCGAATATGTTATTCGGCTTTGAAAGATCTCGATGATTGGTTGTACGCTGTGCCTACTGAAGAAAGCCACTATACACTGATTTGATCATGAAAATAAATATTTATCAAAATATCAAATATAAGTAACAAATTTGTGCGAACTTGCCAATTTAGTCTTTTATTTGAAGTGACCAGCAGATTTTGAAGTTTGGTCAGTTATTTTGCAGATTTGACTTAATTATTAGATTGGCAACTTGAAAGTTGATACACTTTTTCGTATTTTCCATAAAACATATTTAATTGAATTAGATTTCTTTAAATAAAAGTTACATGCTATCTAATTTAAGACATGCTTAAGCAAATTTGGGTAACTTTTGAAACAAATTTGACCAGAAATTCAAGGTTTTTCGAAAATTCTTTAAACAGACATATAACTAAAGCAATTAGACAAATCGAGCTAAGAAGTCGGTTACATGCCTAACTTTTCAGGCTCTATCTTTTTTTCTATTAACATCAAAATAGGTTTCTGTTAAAGAAAGTGCTCAAATCGCTTCATCGGGTGTTCATCATTTTTGGTTCCTCAACTTCTTGTCCCCTAGAAACCTAAAAAGCCGAAGCTTTTCTAAATCTGTCAAAAGCCTGTTTTAGAGAATAAATAGCCTTTTTTATTGGTAAAAACTGTAGATTAATTGGCGCACTAGTTATTTCTAAAAAGTGCAATAAATAAGTGTACCAACTTTCAAGTTGCCAATCTAATACGGTTGATAAAGAAATCAGGCATATTTTTCTCATTCGTTTTTAAACAAAATTTGAGCAAATGAAAAGAAGCTGAAAAGTAGAATCAAATTTAAAATGGAAATCCCATTGTTGTTCGCATTGATAACTCTAGTAGTTCTAACTGAAGTTCCTAGCGGTTCCCAGTGTGAAAGCTTTCATCGAAGCCGATCACCAAGCATCGAGCAAACCAGCCGAGGACGCCGAACGAGCGGATCCCAGTGGCCAGGCTCACACCGAGATCGGTCAAAGGAAAACCACTGAGGACGCAACCGTTGCGGAACCCAGTGGAAAGGGAAAAATCATCGAAGCGAGCCCTCAAACCAACCCACTGAAAGGTCGAAAGCCTCGAAAACGCGGCAAAAAACGTCGAGCAGCCCAAGCTCTTACCGTAACAACTCAATCGGTCCACTCAATTCAATTCAAAGCGAGCCGCCGCACACCCACCCGTCACTTCTAGACGATGTAGGCAGTATTTAAAGGAAAGGTCACTCGGACGACCAACAAAATTATAGGGGTTCTCGACGAAGTCAAGAATCGAGATGAAACATTGATGAATCTCTGACCGGGAGATCTCACTACTTTAAGATATTTGTAAGTGTAATTTGATTCTAAAGATGTAAAGTGATGACTAACAGGATACAACTACTTTATAACACCAAATATAAATAAATGACAAGAGATCAGGATGGGTCCTTTTCAAGACTTCGAGGTGAAGCCTCTGTTCCCTCTCTCCGTCTCGCTTTCCGGGTTGGGGAATCGATTGACGGTTTTAATGTTAATCGGTTTCTTTTAATTTTTCTTTTGACAATGCCAAGAGCACAGCAACGAGTACAAGTTTACATTCGATCACAATCGGATAAAATTTAAGAGAAAGCAAAATTCAGTCAGCTATCAAGTACTGAAGTGTAAGAAAGAAAACGTTCATCTACACTAGGACAGCCTTCTCTTTTATTTTGCAAAAGTATTCAGTTTTTGTTCAATCGTCATTATTTATTGGTGTATTTTATGCCAGTTTACATAAAAAGATATAATAAAAAGGATTCATATCAGTTACGTGAGTCAATGAAGTGACGAGGAAAATGTCCGGTCGCTGAAAATGATCTCTGATCGGAGAAGAACTCTGATGTCTCCACAAAGGGGATTCCCCTTATCAAAAAGCGTAACAAAGCCATGAAATTTACAAGTCATTGACTGATTTGAAAAGAATTATGATTACATTGAGCTCCGGGAATGATAACGGGAATGCTTTTTAACCCCTGATGAGGATTTAAGACAGATTTCGTTGGGGAAGCAATCATTTATTCGCAAAGAATGGCTTCACTTATAACTCAATTTTTATTAGCTTTTTGTTATTTTTCGGTAATTTATGCTTATAATTGCCCACATGGAAGTGAACAAGTACCCGGCGAAGACAAGTGTTTCCTGACCGTCAGAAAGCGTTCGTTTTTTTTTGCATTATTCACACTGTTCCCTAATTCGTAAGGCCTTTTTTTGTTTCTCCATAATCCAAAAATAGCAATAAATTACTATGATAAATAATCAATAAAGATCATTTTGGCAGAAGTTTCAAATATATTTCAGTTAACACCTACACGAACGTGGTCAGCTATTGTCAGTCAAAGAATGGGATTCCGGTGAAAATCGCGAATGTCTACGAGAATTCGTATGCCTTTGTCATGACTGGAGGTTTGTTACCAAAAGAAGACTCCAAAACAAAAGATGCTTCTAGAAATGGACACAGTTCCGGTGTACATTGGAGTGCATCTTAACGAGAGCACCAACCAATGGACCTATTCGGATGGGACACCGTTGATCTATCAGAACTGGGCGACCGGTCGGTTTCACATCCAATTTTTTTCGGAATAGTATTAATTTTTACATTTCCATACTTGTTAGTGCAAATCTTTTGTTCCTATGTTTTAAAAATTTGCATAGTGAGCAACGAGGCACGAGTTTAAATGGAAATCTACACATGTAGCATTGAAATTTCGATTTCAAATTATGTACAAGTACATTTGTGCCATTTATGTGCTCATTTTTGTGATCATTTCAGGCCAACCATCTAGTGGCAACAGTTGTGCCTATCTTGACCCACAAAGCGGCAAATGGGGAAGCGTTGACTGTTCAGTGGCAATGGCCTCGATTTGTTCGATTGATGGTGAGTAGAGATTGTAGATATTATACATGTCCTCAATAGGCACTATGAAAACAACCACAACCACCAAACGTCCGACCACGACAGCTTACTCTGGTAATAGCTTTCGAGAAAAATGCTTTAATGAGACCCGTTGTAGGCCCTTGTCTCGATGAACGTTGGACCTATTGGAATGTGACCGGATACTGCTACTATTTGGAGGTAGCTGACGTTTGACTTTACATTAACACTAGCCTCAATGCCAAAAGCAAAGCCTTATTTCGGCCTAGAGCGTTGATTCAATGATCACCCTGATCTAGATTTTATTTTAAGGGCGTTGGTCTTGGGGACACAATCCTTGGCGAACGATGGGAGTTGTACTCTTGGCTGAATGCCGAGTACGATTGTCGATTGATGGGCTCAAAATCGGGATCGCATTTGGTCTCAATTCACTCAAAAGAGGAAGAGGATTACGTTTATCGTTTGTTCTATTCATTCTAATCAAAACAAAGGGTTTTTAGGAAAAAAATTTATAATTGATTTCAGAGTTGGTTGCCTCAAATATGACCGAGTGGCCAAGCCAATACGCCTGGGGTAGCCCGTGCTTCTATCAACCGGCTTGGATCGGATATTATGGGAATGGCTTGATGGGGAATGGGAATTGGACTGATGGGACACCCGTTGACTACCTCAGCTCAACGCTCATCAATGAGACGGCTCCCTGGAAAGTCGGTTTTCTCTACAGTTGATCGTTGATACAGTTGAACGCCCTAAGTTTAACTTAAATTTGAATTGAACACATAAAATGATCATCTACAGATCTCGAATGACCCCTCATGCAACGAGGTACGCATGTGGTTGAGGGGCAACGCGTATTTGGGTTCAGCCGAGGCGGCTCGCTACGTCTGCAAGTCGCCCTCAATCTACAGTAGTTTCAAGACAAAGTTTTTAATGACTAAAGTTTTTAGATATGCCGACCACCACCCCGGTTCCCTCAACACCGGTCCCCACTCGTTCCCTTGGTAGGCTTTAAAAGCTAATCCTTTTACTGATCCCTTTTCCGATCATCCCTGTTATGATGGATCGTCGTATTCGAATTTGACTGGCTATTGCTATTACGCTCAGGTTCATGAAATGTTCTGAAATTGTTTTATTTTATTACTTAAGCCTTTCACTAAAGAAGATGATCTAAATTGGGATTGGTACGATTGGTGGACAGCTGAGGAAAAGTGTCAGAGTTATTCCGATGGAGGACATCTTGCATCGATTCACTCAAAAAACGAAGAGGATTTCATTTATCGTGAGTAGGGGGTGATTGGACATGAATAATGATATTTCGTGATTTCAACAAAGCTTTTCTATCACTCGACACTCAGAAAAGTTATTAAGCTAAAAATTTTTGCATAAGAAAGTCTCTGGTATCTAAAATGTCTTATGAATATTCCTTTAACCCTTTCAAATCCTAATGACGATGCTTCCAGAAATGCTTTCCTCAAGTACGAACTCATCGACAGTGGATCTCTTTGACACTTGGATCGGTTATTTTGGAAATGGGACGGTTCGGACGGGTAATTGGACTGATGGCACTCCGGTCGACTACATTGGTCAATTCAAACGTGATTGGTCTCCAGCCCGACCCAATCAAGTTTATGCTTGGAAGGTAGTTTTATTTTTTTTGCTTATCGATGAACTTTAAATACAGATTTCAAATGATGTCTCGTGTGCGTGTAGTCCGCGCTGGTGGCTGAACGACCCGGATCAAGAGAACAATCGATTCGTCTGCAAGTACCCATCATATAACGGTGTCTCGAATGAAAAATATCATCGAAAAGTAGTCAATGTGAAATGAGTTGTCTAGCTTTTGTCTTCAATTTTCTCTGTATATCTCATTATTGATTCAATAAAAAGTTTTTGAATTTGTCAATGAGCTACAGATCAAACAGCCTGTACTTTGTCTTTAATTGTTCAGCTATTAGAAAGAAAGACTTAGCGAGCAAAAAAATATGAGTTCGATTGAAGTGCGTGATTGCTTCCTCAATTGTCGGTATTTGTTGTTAGGGCTCTTAAGTACCGGTCGTTAAACAAGCCTATTATTGGCGTCTGAACTAAAATTTCCCAGGTCTAGTTGGCACCGCTTGGCGTGTTCTCTTGACAACTTTCCTAGCTTTCATTGGACAAATTTTAAAGAGTTCTCGAAGTTTCCACGAACTTGGGTAACCTAATAACGAATAGGTAATGTACCAAGAAATTGTAGCCGCCTTTTTCTCATCAACTCAAAAAGAATCTTTGAACAATTTTGAACAAAAAGTTTCGTCTCTTTGACATCATAAACCATAATAAAAAAGTCCTCAAAATGAAGCTTCAAATGAAGCTTTTTCAAAGCGGAAACAACTTTTTCTAGGGTAATCGGTTATGGTGAACAAAATAAAAATGGTCCCAGACTAATCTGGAGACTTTTGATTTTTTGGTTTCATTTGGTGGTCACAAATATTATTGAACAACATAGTCTGTAACACTCCATAGTGGGACACGAGTTCCTCTTTATCTCAAGTCTTGTTTGTGTTTTGCTCCTGACATTCACTTTCAGAAATTTTCGGTTGACCACTCGGAAAGTACATCATAAAAGACAAAATATATGATTAGTAAAGCACGCTCAGCAGAGCGGTTCATTGTGTCTCCTCTTCACTGTTTCACATGTTTATTGTAGCTTCGTCAGCCTGGGACACCTGAATTGTCAACAGAATATTTTGATGATCCTTAGGGCCGTTTTTGCCGATTCTCGTGATTTCCCCCGTTTCCCCATTTTGATCATTCATAGAAAAACTGAGCTTTTCGAATTGCAATTTGAAAGCTTGATGATACTGGGCCCAGAATTCTTGTAAACTTTAGCCGGTTTTGCTTTCAGGCCCGAGACAAAATTGGATGCTCAGTTTGTTGTTTTGCTAACGGCGAAGGTACTGGCTCTTGCAACAACTCACCGTTTTGCACTTGTGTTAAGTAATGAATTAATGAAAGGAAATCCTTGCCATTTAAAATAAATATTACTCATGCAGCTAACACTGAACAAAAATGCAAGACAGAGTTTATTTATTTCTTCTATTCACGAAATTTCATTTTTGGATCAAAACGGATCAGATCTTGGCTGTCACAAGATCACTGTAACATTAGTAGAAGTATGCGTTAAAGAGTCTGAAGTGCAAGTTTACGTTTGAAGTACACACGGTTATAAAAAAAATTTAAAAAATACATTGGCACACATTCTTTCGCACAATCAAGTTTGCAATATTTATTCAAGTTTGCAATATTTATTTACAATAAATTATACAGTAATATACAATGATTCAGACTTGAAAACGCTCGTGTTTCCCTCGATCTTCACCTCAGACAACGTAGCAATCGAAGGCGAAGTTCGTCTAAAGTGAAACGTTTACGGCTTACTTATCAGACCTCTAAAACCAAAGAACTAACAAGTCAATTTTCGATTTCGCAACTTTAAACTTCTAAAAGGTACCCTCAATTTGTGTGTAGCTGCCCATCCAAAGCTATTAGCCGTTTAGGGTAGGGGCACTATTTAGCACTATAAATTTGGGGCACTATTTAGAGAAGTTGAGTCGAGAATCGTGTCCCAGGCAGCTCTAATAGAGGTTTTACACAGACCTCTCCATCGAAACTCCACTGTCCATTGCTATTGCAAACAAATGGCCGATAGTTGACGCGAGTGGTGGTGTCGTTGTAACCGGCCTATGAAAGAATTTCATTCAGTTTTTAGTTCAACCACCTTCAACTTGGCTCTATTTTGTGTAGATTTAAAGAGAGTAGTGGTGGACTTATTTTACAATTTGAAGTTTATATGCTAATTAGTTTGACTTGCATGCAAATCGAAAAAAGCGCACTGACAAGGCAGCAATGTTCACTTAAAAATTGCTATTGTTTCATTGCTAGTTGTCGAACTGATTGGCCATGATGTTTTTATGTCTCTTTTTCATATTCTTCTTCTTACCGGACTTGCTGTCACATAGCTGTAGTGAAGGTCCATGTAGTCAACTCCTTTGTACAACTCGAAAGCGGCCTGAAAAGTGATTGAGGTGGCTGCCTTCAAATTTTTTCGAATGGTCTCCGGCAAGAAGCACCTACATTCACTCCATCGACCCGACAAAACCAATCGGCCGCCAAACAGTTGTTATTCGTTGGATCATTTCTGAACAAAACATCGGTTAGTGATGAGATGCTCAATTTGAGAGTTCACCTATAACGGAATGAGTACGTTCCCCACACCCATCCATCGTAGTTGTCCTTGTAGGAGCTCACATTGTATGCACACCGTTGACAAGCTGAACCGAGTAGTTCTTTAAGAAGAGACTCTTGTAAATCTACATCTTCAATCAAAACTCAAGGCTTCAACCTTAACAATTGAAAGAATTCAACTACCAGGCAGTGGTGTTGTTGTGGCCTTCGTTGTCGTCGTTGTGGCTATTGTGTTTGCATAGCAATCGTATTTGAAGGTTGCCTAGACATGTTTGTTCAGAAAATTTCTGCAACTTTTTGTTTTTTTCTTGAATCAGCCTCACCTCTCCATCGAAGCTCCACTGCCCGTTGTTGTTGCACACAAATGGTCGGTAATTGGCTTGTGATGTGGTGTCGTTGAAGCCGGCCTGTAAAAGAATTGATTTCAGTCATTTGTTTAATTTTCTGTTTCAACTATTTAGCAAACTTTTCTGATGTTCTCTTTGTATTGGGGCGTCATTCTCTCAAAAATTTCACAAGAAGTCAAAGCACACTAACCGGATTCACATTCTCGTTGTAGCCGTAGTGTTTGGAGGTGTAGTTGACGCCTTTGTACAACTCGAATTTTGCCTGAAAAAGTTGTGTGAAATTTCGCTTAGATTCAAGTCAATTTTATTCAGTTTTCGACTCACTTTTGTGTATGGAGCGGGGATTTGACAAAACCAATCGGCCACCAAACAGTTGTTCTGTGTTACATCGTTTCTAGCGATTAACGATTAAGACGACATTTATAGACAATAACCTATATCCAAAAGTCGCCGTTCCATGTGTCCACGCGGTCGTTGGATATTCTTCATTGTATTCGGGCAAGTTTCTGGCACATTGTTGACAAGCTGAAGTGACTTTTGGGTCAACTTAACTAACGGTTCTGATGTTTCGAGGTTGATGGACTAATGGACAAATTTAACTTAACAAATGGATTAAGGAAAAATTTCTCAATTATTCACGTTTTAGAAACAAGGATGAAAACGAGTACCCGGTTTTGGTGTAGTTGTTGTCGTTGTTCCCAAACTGTACGTGGCACCGGCGTACGGGATTTGACTCGTCGTCACGTTGGATTGGACTGAAGCCGAGACTGAAAGAAAGTAGTTGCAACTCTTTAAAATCATCAATCACCAACCATATCTGTAGGTGAAAGTGAAGTTGTTGAGACTGTAGCGATTGTTGAGGAGCACCGGCATGATATGACCCTCAGAGATCACCTTCTCGCCCACATCCTCTTTGCAACAGAAGCTAAAGCAGATTTGAAGTCTTTTTTTAATCTTTAAAAGCATTCCGCAGTTCTACCGTCTTCTCTCCCAATCTTTCAATCGAGCACTCACCGAATTCCCGTGTAGCGATGATCGGTGATCACCTTCGCTTCAAGACTCATATACTCGCACCCACTAGAGCATTGAGCGTTCGTCATCCTCGTGATCATCAACTCGATCTTGTTCCCAACGGGTGCCTAGAGACAAATTTGTTTTCAAGAAATGAACATTTTCCTAGACTCTGATCAAGAAGTTGCATGTCTCCCAGAAGTCTCCCACACCATTCTCCGAAGCGCCAACCGCCTGAATTTGTGTTTGGAGAGTCGTCGTTGCTGTCAGCTCAGTTCCACAACCAGGTGGCTGAAATGGGAAATGGATGGGTCTACCGATCTTCACAGACTGACCCTAATTGAGCAAGTGGCACCACCCCATCCACTTGGGCAAATGCACGTATTGCAGTCTCTCGGGTTTCTGAAGCCTCCATTCACACAATTGGCCCCCGATGTGCATTTCTCTGAAAAATATGTACCGTCAAGCTTAACTGGTTAGCGGATAAATGGGTTTCATGAAGTAGCGTACGTTTGCACTGATAATGCTCGTTCATCATCGAGATGTCGTAGAAGGCGATCTGCCTTGAACCCATCGCGTACTGATATTCATCGATCTGCAAATTTGGAGGTCATGGGGTCATTGGCGGACAACGGCTAAATGCCCACCTTTGCATACATGGTCCTCGTCGTTGTATCCTCAAGGTAATCCCAGATGAAATCCGTATCTTTGTACTGCATGATGCTTCCGTACTCGAAAGGCAGCCCGTAGTTGTAGTTGGTTTCGTTTGTTTGCTAGAATTAAGGCCAGATTAGTTAGGGCATCAACCACTCTGTAAGCTCATCTTTTGTATGTTTGTAAAAAGTTCTCTAGGGTAAATGATGCAGCTGAATCAATTAGTTTAGTTTTAAAGCGGTTCTAGCAAAAGCACAAGATAAAAACAGGTGAACAAAGGTTGAATGGGATCATATAGATAAAAGCCCTAACTGATTGAGGTCTACCGCCATGTTTTCAATGGAGCTTTTGTGCTTTAGCGAACCTCGTTGAAATTTGAGACATGACTGGTGTTCACATTATTCTTGTACACTGTCACAGAGTCCTTCACATCGTAGCGGCTCATCTCGTGGAAGAAACCGAGCGCGTGCGCAATCTCGTGCACACAGTTGCGGAACTGAAAATGAAGATGAACTTAAGTCAAAAGTTATTTCTTTAGTAACGGGATGGTAAAAATTATCGAAAGGTAGATTATGCCATTCAAAAGTGTCATGTCATTAAAAAACAAAGTGACATGGGTCATTCAGAAGAAGACAAGAGTCATGAGAAGTTTATGGTACATACATTGCCGCAACTGTCGGCGAGTTTAATGATTTGCTCTCCACCGATCATCCCAACACTCGACGAACAACCAGTGTCCTTTCGGAAGCGGACACGGTTTCTGAAATTTGAAAGCTCTTCATTTTTCTTTTAACAAACGGTGCATTTGCATCTTCCACAAAGTTGATGCACGTCATACTTTTCCAGAAATCGATGCCAATCTGGGCGAATTTTTTTGTCTTTTCAGGTAGATTCGCGTCGAAGACGTAGTAGAACGTCCCAGATGTCCACAGCTTCCCCGGTAGCTTGATCGGGTGTTGGGCCTAAAGGTAAATGAGCTAACAATCACAAAACTCCGGTAAGACCTCACTAACGAACTTTTGAAAGGATTTTGTAAAAACGTTTTACTCTCGAGGTTTACCCTTTATGATTTGTAATTGAAGTTCACCTGTATTCGAATTACGATTTCAAAACCCACCTGTCTTTTCACTCTATCGTCTGCGTCGTCCAGGAACTCGCCGAGCAATGCATCGACTTGATCACTATAAAAGAGCTCTTTGTGCAAAATTATATAAAGGTTTTAAGAAAACAATTGTTTCTTTTGTGTTTTGTAAAGAATCGCATGTCGAATTTTATTTTCAAGAACTCACTCGCTGAGCATCATGTCTCCGCCGTACAACGAGCCAGCCACGCCAGCTGCGATGTTGATCTGAAAGTGAGATAGAAAAGTGATTTCAAAAATTGTTATAATCGATTTAAAGAAATTATATTGAATCAACTCAGAACCGAGATGTGAGTTTCAAACAAAAATCTAAATGAAGACAAATATGTGCTACGTCAGAATCCGATCAGGATGATTGTAATCGGATCCGGACGTCCTGATCCGATTTGGACGTCCTAATCCGATCACGATCATTCTTTAGCAAAATACCCCCTCTAACTCAAAATACAACTGTTGGAACTCAAAAAACTAGGGTTGTAACTCAAAACATCGCCCTAGTAACTAAAAATACAAGGGTTGTAACTTTTTTAAGCCTTTTTTATAAAGATCATATCCCCGATCATAATCCCATATCGTGATCAGATCCGGACGCCTGATCGGATTCGAACGTAACATATGCAAAATGAATAAACCTCTTGGATGTCCTTTTCGGCATTTGGGGGCAGTGGCGATCGGGCGCGTGGTTTGAAGTTCTAAATGATCGTTTTTTATGCGAAAAGTTTACATAATAACTTCAAAACGGTGAGATTAAATCATAAATTTTCGTATTTTCGTTCAAGCTTCAAAGAGATGAGACCTTGATCTTCTCGGTGATGATGGCCTTTTCTTGGGCGGTCTGCGCCACACCCTTCATTGCCTCGTTGGCTCGATCCAACGCCAGCATGAAACGGTCGACGTTTGTTTTGTTGCCGAATGACTGAATGAATGGATTTACATTTGTCAATTAGTGTGATCAACTGGAATGTTTAAATTAGTGAATCTTTACGATACCTGCTTGAAGCGATAGATTTGCTCTTCATTCCATCTGCCCCAATTGTGTTTGGGGAACAATTTCTTGATCCAATCGAATCCCCTCGACTCGACACAACCAACAACAGCAAGAAACAGGAGGATATAGATGGCTTTCATCTAGATTGAAAATTTAGACTACCTTTAGATAAAAGAGACACCTGACTTTCTAGCTTTCTTGTTTGCAAGCCGAGCGGCTTTCTATGGTTATTTAGAAGTGCTTTTCTCATCCCTTTTGGGCTATTTAGCAATAGATGCTAGCTAAAGAAAAATGCCTAACCAGTATTAGTTACTGTGAATTTTTAACAAAGAAAAGTAGGATTTTAACTAAACAAGAAACTTTCGGAAAACAGATGTCTTGGCACTAAGCTATAATACAAAAAACGAGATTGGATAACCTCCGAGCTGGAGCTGTGACTTCGAGTCGCGTCCAACGATCCTTATAAACATTTTTGCACAGACGACTAGACCTTTACTAAAGCTCTATTTTCAAGCGCAGTCACATTCACATAGTGGGCTTTGAGTAGACAATGACTAGCTAAATGTACAGTTTTTTAATTTCAAAAAAGTTGTGACAAAAAGTGATCATGTGGGGAGATCAAATGTCCAATTTCGAACAACAATCACAAAGGATAGTTCTGCAAAAGACTACAAAAACGATTTGAGGACAATGAACAGCCACGGCTATACGTTTAGACTAAACCTCAAACTGTACAACTCTAGTCCTTTTGTTGTCACTTTGAAAAATGGCACGTTTAAAATTTTTTTTATTAAAATTGGACTTTAGTGCCAAGTTGTGACGCCGGACTAGACGAGTCGTCAAATCGGGAAGTGTACTTGTCAAATACAGAATTTGCCTTTTATCAAACCCTTTTGAGTGGTGTGTATATATTGTGTGATTCTGATGAAACGTATTCCCAAAAACAAAGCATAAAAAATTTTATTACTCAAAGACGTTCGACGAGTCACGCTCACATCACTAAATTCTCCAAAAACAGGATCAAATTACATTAGCTGGAGCGTCAGTTGGATCGATGAATGGGGCGCTCTGAAAAAAAACACCGAGTCATTTGTGGAATTTATGCAAACTTATTTTAACTTCAATTTATGTGAGTTTATTCCTTATCCCTAAACCGGTACATCTGACTATTTTTGACCAAACTCTATGCCTTCTCAACCCCTCCCCAGTACCTCGATGTCTCGGTGTCCATAAGAACTATCGATTTAGAGTGAAGAAATAAAATCTTTGTTACATTCTAACCAAGATTTTGTCTCTTTACTTCAAATCGATAGCTCAGAAGTCGAAATAGGGCGTGATTCTCTAAACGTATAGGTCATTTCGATCGTGTTGCTATTTTCGACCGGCTTCCCATGCAAATTTCCAATTTTGATGCAGTATGTGATCAAAAAAGTGACAATCTTGCCGTTCGACGTACCGTTTGTGCCTCTTCACTCGAGCTGCTCTTCGCATGGTGGTGGTCGTGGCCTCGATGAGGCCCGTGTGGGTGGGCAAATGCAGGGAAGTGACGGGGTGTCTTAAGACTTGTTTGGATTAAATACATTAATTCAATTAAAATATTTCGATTACCTCAATGACACCTTGGTGTCCAGGGTATGGGTATGGATATGGATATGGGTAGGGGTAAGGGTAAGGGTAGGGATAGCCCAACACAGGCACCACCACCATCAGGGCAAAAAGCACGAGGCTCAGAGAATGCATATTTGAAGAGTTTGCTGGATGCACATAATTTCGAGAGTGTTTATGTACCGTTTTCATTTCCCATAAACCTAATGGTCAGCTCATAAAGATCATAGTATTTTATGGCTTCATTTACAAATGGCGAGTCAATGCCATAGAATTATGACTTTTTGAGCACATCAACATCAACAAAATGAAGTCTTTTCAATGTTAAAGATGAATGTTTGTTATAAATAAGAAGCTATCTATCCCTGCCCCATCACCTCCATCAAGTTCTCCCTCAATGATCTCTCCATCGATGTCCCGATTGACAGCGAAAAGAAACTCTCGCATTTCCCCAATGTTTATCACAAATAAAATTTACATTTGTGATCTCTCTGAACTTTTTGGCATCTGTTAAATGAAATTGATGAGGGGACTAAAAAGATTCAGCCATTTGAACTTTTGAAACTAACTTCAAAAGCTACTCAACACCGTATTCTATCTGCTTCTATCAGTGTAAGGAGACTGTAAGTAGAATACTAGGATGTGTCGCAGAGGCTTCACCATGGACACTTGGTGATCTAGCTGGTGGCTTTCTGTGTTTATATTCATGATGAGCCTGTTCTTGAATACGAGAAAATTTAATTTCTATAAAAAGTCTCTGTAGAAATTTGCACCAGATTATCCCTTTTTTTGTTATTTGATTTGTTTCTTTGACTCACTCCACTCATCACAATCCACATCAACGAAGAGATACACCAAAATAGCTCAAAGCCGATCTCAAATGGATAGACTTTATCGTCGGGATCCGATTCTCGTTCGTTCATCAAATTTGTCCCAACACTGTACAACACATGCTATTACTGAAAATAATTTTTTAAGTTTTTAGAACTTCAAGTTCCAAGAAACAATTTCTAATTAACGCTCTGCTTTTTACACCGATTCAATTATAAATTCAAGCCAAAACCTGTCATAATGGTGCCACAGATCAGCACTTCAACCGCTTCAAAATTTCAAATGCAGCGAGATTTCTTCTCTTCAAACATTGTAACAAATAAAGCTAGTAAACGCTTTTTGTCTGCAAGTGAAAGACTTAAGTGCAAACTTTTGTAGTTAACGAAAGATTTTCGTAGTTGGGGTGAGCAGAAAAGAGATTCAAAAGATCTCTGGGATTCGACGCAATTTCGGATTCAAGGAGAAGAGCAATTGTGACGAAGTGTGAGCTTAAATTCTCTTCAAACGTTTTTTGACACTAAAAAGTTGGCTTTACATATTTAAAGGAGTTGACGACACAAAGGTGGATATCATTTTAATTGATCATTGTAATTATTCCGTGGCTATCCTGAATTGTCAAACATTTAAAGAGTTTTAGAAATCAATCCTTAAATGGAATTTTGTTTGACTCAAACAATGCCAAATCGAGTTTTATATGGTGCTAAGTTTAGCTGTCCAATTATAGAACCATCGGTATTGAGACAAAGAGTGATACTGGCTCAATGATTCAAGAAAAAAAAAAGATTTATTCAGTTAATTTCGCTGGATAAATAAGTTTAGGAATCTAGATGCCTTCTTGCCAATCCAATCGGAGCTCTCTTCCCAAAAAGAGCATAATCATAAAAATAAGCAGCTTTCAAATAGGACAACGTTTTCGAATTCGATAAAATGGCCCGTCTCCACCCATTGTACTTTCGATGGGAATTCAGATTGACTTGGCTGTCTTTGCGCACAATTCGCCGGAGAGCCTAAATTTGTTTTCAGTTTAAGCATTCTTTGAGCATGCTTTCAATAGTAAAATAAGCCTAAGAGTGAATAACTTGTAAAAGTAATCGAACAGCATCGAGCTCAGCTTAAAAGACTACAGGTGAACCCTACGTACGGCATCAAATTCAACTTTAAAAGGTACACAAGCTGGTCTAGGTTTTATTTCAGAAGTCCGACTTAAGTTCATACCTATCCCTAGTCAGTACTAAAGTTTAAAATAGATGAAAGTGTTAGGAATTCTAATGACAATTACAATCCCTTACTCTCTGCCAAATCCATCGAGGAATGTCCGTTGATCGGAAGACCCTGACAAGTCGTTTCTTCATCAAACCCCGATTATTTGTGTACTCGATGACTTTATCCGTTTTGTGATGTTTTGAGATATCGCAGTACCTGTAAAACACAAATCTTTTTATAGTGAATTTAAAATGTGAGCCATGCAAATCGGCAAACCAATTAGCATGGGAATATTCATTTGGATTGTCTCATAAGCTGAAAAATAAGAATTTTTCTAGCTTTCAACGCAAACCCGATTGAGTTTGGGTCAAAGTTGGGTCATAAATCGAATCGTAAACGGCTTGTAGTGCCGGCTTGTAAACAGTAGCCACATACCAAGATTGTGGACTGATATGATGTCTCAAACGTGGCTGATCCCTTGCGCCGAGTGGAAAATTCCCATCCTTCAATATTCGATAGACACCACGGGCAAACGTGTGCACATTTTTGCCGGCCTCCCCACACAAATGCTCTCGTCTAAGCGATTTTTAAAGTTGTTGAATCTTTTCTTAAGCACATATAATATTATCATAGAAAGAAAACACAAATTAGCCATTCCCACTCAAATTAGAGATGAAATTGCTTTTCAAAAATTCCCCTGCTCACTCACTCGCACATGTGTGCATATATGGAAAGGAAACGATCGACGGGATCTCTCCAGATGAAGAATCTCTCCTTGTCCCTCCATCCAGTGAATGGAACCATCGCTGACGTGGCCATCATTTCACGTCGTTGCTCCGGGAAGCAAATGCTAAAATTGGTGATTTTTAAAATACCGTACTGTTTTTTCTAGTAGTTCGGATATCAAGGTATCAAACTTCAGAGAAAAAAGCTTTTGGTAAAACTGTGAGTAAAGAAATCGACTTCTTTGTTTGAAGTGTGTCCTACTTTCCGAAGCCTGTATTGAGTCGTCGATCCCTGAAGGCAGTGATTCGACCGTCTCTCTTCAACAAAGCAATTTCGCAATGGATCTATAAATTTCAGTATCTCGTTCATCAGCGACTTCTAGTTTTATAGAGTTTGACTAAATTCAGTTTTAGTGGCTTCACGAAGAGCCACAATTCCTCACATTTGCCATCATTTGGGTCATCGTCTTTGCCGGCCCCAAATAGAGAAGATTTCCAAATTTCTAAATATAGTGACTAATTTGTTAGACTTGAAAAATAAAGAATGTCGAAATTAAAATTAGAAAATTTTTCATGGAAACCCACATAGCTAGCACAGGCACCAGCATTTCCTTGAGGTGGTACTGGCTGGAGGGATCTTGATCCGTGAAAGAGACCAAGTATTAGGGTAATGATTAAAAGGAACATTGAAAATGGATAGAAGAGGAGAAGATTGACAGGAACAGGACGACTTTTCTTGGCAAAGAAAGAGAAAACCGGTGAAAGGAATCTTTGGGCTGGATCGGTTTATACCCGGCTCACAAAGCAAGTTTTTTTTTTCTTGATTCAGGTTGAATTTTTGCTTTTTGAAATTTTTGCCAAAATGTTTTGTGCCAGTGTGTAGCCCTTTCTGTGATCTTCATTTTGGTAAGGAGATTGTCTAAAAAGTGAAGTGAACAATGGGTAAAATTGTGGTCAAAAACCCTGTGGTTCCAAGCAAGTAATAATCAATTTAAAAGATTATTGGCACTTGGTTGCGGTGCGGTGTCGGAGATCGGAGATAATTTTTTGCAATAAGGAAAAATGTGTTCCGTGGGGTTTGTGCTTGGAAATTGCTTAAGTTAAATGAAAGAAACAAGTCACTATTTTTTTCTTCTGTCTCTCCCAGAAACAAAGTTTACAATAATAATAATACAATAAAAGCAGAGAGAACACATTTGAGACATTTTTAATTCAGACGATTGGAAAATGGTTATCTCACTAAAAAGGATTTTTTTGATGCTTGATTCAATGTTTAACGATTCATCATGCATAATCAAAAGATCACAGGAAATAAATCGAAACGTTTTATTGGTTTCATCTTTTCTTGCAAACGACATACGGTGTGGTGTAATCCGAGTACCGAAATCGCATCAACCAGAGCCCCGATTGAGGACAATACGTTGAGCACTCGTCGATCGAGCCGACACAAAATTCAAGCGACTTATTTTGTTCCTCATTGATTTTATGATAAATGAGACAAATATTTAGGTGAAGTGGTTTTCAGATTTCGTCTCAAAATAAAAGGGCAACTGGGAGATCGTATCGCTGATCGAATAAGTGACACCCAAAAAAGTTGTTTCTTTCAAAAAACACACATAATAAAGATTGAAAGGAATTGGCAAAAAAAAAGTATTACACCGGAGAGGGATTGAATCCTCGACCTTTTGCTTTCCGGGTAATTGCTCTAGTCACTGTCTAAGTTCTGTAAAACGTATTTGTAGAGTTTTAGATTAGAGCAAAAGCTTCCGAAACATTTTCTCCAGTTTGGTTGTTTTTTTTCTGTATTCAGTAACATTTTGCTTTATAAGAAATGGAATGAGTTCTTTAGAAAAGTTCTCCTCTCGTCGCGTCTCGAAACTCGTAGGATCACATCTGAAAACTCGACAAAATCTTGGAAGTTTAGGTTTTTACAACTTCTGTCTTCATGCAAATTACAGAATAATTAACATCAGATGCAAATTCTATGAAATGCAAAACTCACCGAGCTTGTTCTCGAGAAGAGCCAGATATTGCCCAAAGACAGTCTTCATTTGATGAGCGTGGATCAGAACCAGCTTTTGCCCCTTCACATTCCCATGTTCAATGGAGCGAAAAATAATGTTCCCATCTTTGCAATCAATGCCACAAAAGCATGTGACATCATTTGCCCCTTCTCGATGTACACGCTCAAGGATTAACTCGGTGCCGAACATGAAAAAGACCAACGCCTCAGTGCCGACACAATAGGTGAGTTGTTAAACAATAGCTTTTCCTTCTTTCAGAACGCTTTCCCGCTCGGGATCATAGAGACAATAGGAGTTAATTAAGAAGCGAAAAGCTTCTTGAAAAACCGAGAATATTGGCTGGCACATAGGAGTTATAGGAGTTTCAGGGGGGGAGGGCGGTGAAGGCTTAAGTATCCCTGGCACCTTCTCCTCCCCCCCCCCCCACCACTGGCTACGGGCATGAATGTGGAATTGTAAGCACATAGGACTTGCTAAACTTCTTCTTAAGCTGTAGATTCAAAAACAGTTAGCATAAATCGAAATGTTGTAGGGTGGTCGGTGAAGCTGATGAGCACGGCGGAAACACGATGCACCCACATGGTGTTGATGGCCGAGGTGGCAATGGTGGCTGGGGAACACAACGTGGCGGCGATTGAGGGAATCGCGGGAAAGCCTTCGGCACCGGGGGTCATGACGGGGATGGAGGTGATGGTGGTAATTGGATGGGAGTGGGTTGCGCTGAGAGCTGGATTGGTGGAAACGGGGGCCACGGAGGAAACGGCGGCCATGGTGGAAACAGCGGAAATGGAGGCAATGGGGGCCACGGCTGATTCGTATATCTTGTATTTCCAAACAAAATTCCTAATAAAACGTTTGCTTATTGTTTTTTTATGGAGAATAGTCGTTTAAGCGACTCGTAAATCTCTTAATTTGGAGTTGTTGTTGCTGTTCTATCGTACTTCTATCGTTTTCTATTCTGCACTAACTTTGGCTGATTAGCAAGCCTAGTGAAAACGTTCGATTTATTTAAATTAAGAAAATATATTTAATGAATCAATTTGCATTTCGGAGTCGTTTCTGGATAGAAGTTTCGTGCATTGGGGATCGATTTTGTAAGCGGAACTCTTCAAAACCTGAAAATTAAAATAAAGTATCACCTGTATTTTCACCTGTATTAAAAAATAGCATTGTCTTAGCTCACAAAAATCGATCGTCAACGGCAAGAGTAGTTTCAGAGTCAGATATTGTTTGTTGTACCATTTGCAATCATCTCTAGGACGATCGCAAGCAGTTTGATAAGAAAAATTTCAAAATATTCAGCTAATACTTCAAAAATTGGGGTAAACGAATGATGCTAAATTGATCCGTTCAAAAATTGATCGCCAAATGAGTATGCCGATTTGAAAGTGTTCGAGGAGTCTATGAAAATACAGGTGATACTTTGTTTTATTCTTCAGGTGTTGAAGAATTCGGTTTACAAAACCGATTTGAGTGCACGAAATCCAGGAACGGCTGCGAAATGTAAAGATTTATGATTCAGAAATATTTTCTGAATTTAAATAGTTCGAACGTTTCAATCGGGCTTGCTAATCAATGAAAGTTAGTGGAGAATAGAAAATGAGTTACGATAGAAGTACAAAGAAGACTGATGTTAGAAAATTCAGCTTTTCTGTCATATCTATTTGGCAAAAATTTGCCCATAGATGATTAACATCGGTTTGTTGATTAAACAATGCCAATGCCAATGCCGATTTTGAATGCCGATCTCAATTTGTATCCCACTACAGCTATTCCAGTACTAAGAATAGAAAATTTTAAATAATAAACAAGATTTGGAAATCCTTTTCACTCAAAAGTCAAGTTTACCAAGAGATCTTTCCTGTTTGTTTATGACATTCCAAATAGTGAAGATGGAAATCCAAGTGTTGACAACGGAACCTAGGTTTTGATTGATTAATGTGAAAGTTTTGAAAAAGAAATCTCTTTGATGCGGGAACCAATAAATCAAAAAAGTATTGGAAAAATGATTTAGCTGTAATTTTTATCCGTTACACTGGCGTTCCACTGGTCTGTCTATTTCGGATCAACTCCTAGCCTTGAGCAAAAAAGAAACTTATAGTGTTGATCAAGATTTTGAAAAATTTTTGGGTTGGGCATTCAATTTTTATAAAAGGCACTTCAGGCTTTTAAATGTTAAAAAATTTTAAAAAAAAAGAGTTTGATTGGATCACAAGAAAATCAAGAGACAAAACGCTGAAGATCAGATCACATTGTTCTCTCAGTTTAGCTGCTTATTTAACCAATCAGGATTGATAGACTCCATAAAATGAATAGCTCCAATCGACGATTCCCCGTCCCCAAAAACCCTGGGATACAAATTTACGGCTCAATATCTTATTTTTGTATTATCTACAAAGCAAAAGGAAAAAAATTCTATATATTAGGCTATCCAAAAAGTTTTTTTTTTGTTTTGTGCAAGCCGCTTTTGTTTCACCCAATCTAACAATTTCTCCTGACATTTATACTTATCGTAAATCCTCTATTCTTCGGTGCCCATTTTTCGGATCGCCAAAAAAATCACATAAGGGGGTACCATATTGTTGAAAAAAATTATTTTTGCTTAAATCACTCTAACTCGGTTCCTTTTGGTCTAAAACATACGAAAAACACATTTAAAACAAAAAGCTACGTTTTTTTGGTTATTGTTAGCTTTCAGAATATATATGTCAAAAGAAATTGTTAGATTGAGTGGATCAAAAACGGCTTGCACAAAACACACAAAAACATTTGGGACAATGTAACAAAAGGGTCTTTGGCCGTCGCTATGCCCAAATTCTTGGGATCAACTTTTTGCCTTTAATTTGCCGCTATTTTTTTACGGTTTCCTTTTCGAGTGAAATGGGAAACAAACGGTTTCCCAGTCAACTACCACATAAAACATCCTTTAATATGATCAAAAATAAATGAAAACAACAATCTACCAGGAAGGAACTGCTTTACTTTCTCCATGTTCATTGATGTGCACAGACTTTTCAGATCTCAATCTTTTTCTCTCTAATATATCGGAACATTTCAAGTTTAAGAGAAAAATATTGAGGAGGCGAAAGAAAAACGAAAAAGATCGTCACATCTTTTGCTTTTCCAGTGGTTTGTGTGGAGTCTATGAAAAGAAAAAAAGGAGGGGACGGTGGTCAAAAAGGGGAGGATCATGGGAATCTTCTCTCATTTTGCGAGATTAAATCGAATGCTTTTTGGATGGGGTTGCCTGGCTTCGTCTATCGTTGCTTTCCTCAGAACGGAACCTATGTGGCAAGTTTTTTAGAGGTTTTTGACAGTTACTAGTTTTGTAAGGTGAAAAGCGTATGCCGGGTCCTATATTTCAAACTCTAATATGCCTATACGGAATCTAGTATCAGCCAAGTACTACAAACTTTGCAAAATTAGCATTACAAGATCAAGATCCGGCTTTAATTGGGATTAGAGCCGATCTTGTACTGGTCTCAATGTTCTCAATTACTGCATGCCCTTTTTGACCTTGCCTGGCCTAGCTTAGTCTGACTTTTTAAAGACCCTGAACCCACCAGAAGCCAGGCCTAAGCCTTGTTCCTTGTCCTAATATGTTCCTAGCCTGGTTCCAACTCTAGTTTCCAGTTGCAACATCCCGATTCCCATGCAATTCCACCTTTTTTACATAACCTTTCTAGAGCAATGGCTCCAGATTCGACGGATTTGAAGGTGTTGCCTGTCCTGAGCTCTACTACTTATCAATATTTCCCTATATCACATTTATAGTCTTATTTTCTATACAAATTCTTCTATTCTTAAAGACTAGGCGAAAACACGAGGAAAAGTTTCGAATACCCTTTTGGACGTGGATCAAATTGGTAGATTTTTGATATCTTTTTTTCCAGATTCAATCCCATTTCCAGCTTCTTTTTGTCGGTTTAATTTCTTTGCACATAGCCGAGATTGTCTATTATCGTGAATTGGATACGTTTTTGGAACGAGCACTTCGAATCATTTCGATTGTAGCAATTGTAAAACACAAACGCTACCGATTCAGTTCAAATTATATCATTTAGTTATTTGCGATATCTTCTTTGCTTTTTGGCGCAACTCGACGGCATAATTTTATTGTGGCTCTTTTCTCGATCATCATATTAATTTTTGATTCAGCCTTTGTCTACTACAGGGTTTGTGCCTTAAAATACAAGATTTTTCAAGCCAAGGTCTAGATTTCAACATTTGAGAGTCTTTTCTTCAAGGATTTCATTCGTCTCTTCCTTTGGTTTGGCTTGAATTATCTGCAATCGGTCGACCATGAGAGGCCAAAAGAGGTGGGAATCTAATAAATTTAATGAAGTAAAATAGATTTAAATTGAGAGTTTTTCAAAAGTTTAAAATTAATCGATTCTGAGCATTGAAAGCTGTTTCCAATGGAAAAAGCAAAGCTTAGTTGAAAAGTTGAATAGAGTTGATTCATGATTCATGAAACGAGACAAGATTGAGATTTCTCAAATAAAAAGCTCAACATTTTTCAATCTCTAGGAAGCTTCGTCATTCGACCGAGCTGGATGCTTTTCCATATGCACATTTTCGTGGCTCTCAAAGCTCATGTCAAGAGGATTTAAAATGGTTGGTGTTCTAGAATTTTATTTCAAATTGTCTCAATTTTGATTTGATGATTAAATAAACTTATACTAAGCTATTAATTAGATGATTTTTACAAATAAAATAGAGGTTTCAGGCTGTAATCTGAACTGAAAATCAGAACCCACCTTCTCAGTTGCACTTAATCAATTTTTTTAGTTTAATAACAAAGCATCATTCATCTAAAATCAATTATTAATTGAAAGTTTTATAGCCACTTGAAATGGTTGATCTCCACAATCTCCCGCAAAAGGAAACATCGGAGACTTTACGGGAAAAATGGAATGACGCCTGGAAAGATGAACAAATGAGTAAGACAAATATTTTCGTAGAACTTCTAACCCGTTCAGAACATCCCCAAAAAATTTCTCTGACACGTGCTCTATTCTGTGGATTGAGTACAGAGCCTCTATTTGTTCTCCTCCTCAAATCCATCACTCAACTCATCCAATTCTTTATTGTACCACATTTATTGAAGTGAGTGTTTGAACGATAATTTAAAACCTTGATTTCAGATGGCTGTTGGGAAGCCTTTCTGAAAAAGAGATCCCACTTTCATTTCCTCTTCTTTGTGCCATTGGACTCTTCATCAATTTGGAAGCAATTTCATTGTTGACTGGGTTCTTTATGTTCTTGATTAATCGATATCAACTGCATATTCAAACGATGTTTCTGAATGCTTGCTACGAAAAGGCAAGTTGAAAAGGCGAAAAAGGTTTCTGTTAATAACCAGAAATCGAGGAAATATTTTTGTTTTTACTCCTCAATTTGTAAGACAATGAATTCTGATTGAAGCTGTTTAATATCAACTTTAAGAAATCTCAGTTATCATTCAAGGTGCCACATTCACTGAATGGAGATAGCAGGACAAAGTTCTATTTGCATGAGTGTTTGAGAAAAGAACGAAAAGGCTAATTGAGCCATTCTCGTGATAATTTTCTATTACTCATCATTGAACCAGTCAATAAAGTGTTTTCTGTAGAATAGGACTGACTCAACATGAACTCAATTGTCTTAAACCGTTGAATAGTTTCCCCATTCAGTTGCTCCGTCTCTCCCCAATTGCCCGCTCCAAATACAGCGTCGGTTTAATGGTGAATCTGATGTCAATCGATATCGATAAAGTCGCCGACTTCTTCCCGGCATCTATCGATTTGATCTCAATGCCGTTAAAGGTTTTCTGTGAAAAATTTTTAAACTCAACTTATTTAGATAATCTTCGGCACGGCGATGTTAACAATATTGTTGGGTACACCTGGGTTAAGCGTTTTGGTGATCGTTTGTTTGATCATTGTGTTCAATGTTTTTGTGACAAAGTTGATCAAAAAGTATCAGCAACAACAGATGAAAATTAAGGATGAGAGGACAAAAATGTGCAATGAAGTGAAAAATAAAGAGGTTTTTTTGTAAATTCTACTGTTTAGGTTTTTCATGGAATAAAGCTTATTAAGCTGTACGCATGGGAGGAGGCTTTTGAAGAGCGGATTGGTGAATTGCGAGCACAAGAGGTTGACCAAGAGGTTGACCATAAATGACCAAAAAGGAAAATTTTAGGTAACAATGATTAAACGGGTCAATATCATTTCTCAGATCAATTTGGCTGTGATTGAAGCCTCGATTTTCATAGTGGGTAGACTTTGACGGCAATCATTAAGGAATTCAGATGATTCTCGTTGTGTTTGGGCTATGCATTTGGACACTAGAAGAGGGACATGATTTGTTGAGGCCAGAGGTTTGTTCAGCAGTTGAAAGTTGATGCTAGATTTGGACTTTTCTAGATTGTATTTGTTGCGATCTCGATTCTTCAACAACTCAAAACACCAATGAGAAAAATTGCCAAAACAGTCACTTTCCTAGTTCAGGTACGATAGTTTTTAATCAACGAGTCTCTCTTGCAATCTTTTATGCAATCTGCATTTTAAAGGCTAGACAAAACTGTAGTAATTCAGATTGTCATCTTTGGGTTGTAATCTTTCAAACAAAAGCCGATAAATTCTTACTTAATCAACTTGAGTCAAATTCAGGCTCAAGTCTCTCTCAAACGCCTTAAAGACTTTTTACTTGAAGATGAAATTGAGGACAAGGATTATGATTCAAAACGAAGAAAGTCGACAGCTCTCTCCATTAAAGACGTTTGGAAAATTTTTAGTTTTAAACGGAAAATTTGGGGATTTAGGGAGAGTTCACTTGGATGACTTCTTTGGAAAATCCATCGCTCTCATCGATCAATTTGAAAATCAAGAAAGGGACCTCGATTGGAATTGTTGGTGAAGTTGGATCCGGGAAGAGCAGTTTGCTGACAACTTTTCTTGGTAATCTTTAACTTCAAATTTTATAGTTTTTCGTTGGTGTTTAGGTGAAATCCATCAAATGAATGGAAAGATGAAAGGCAATGGAATAATCTCCTATGTCCCACAACAACCTTGGATCATCAGCACAACAATTAGAAAGAATATCATTTTGGAAAAGGTTTAAAGTTTAAGTATTTTGATAAAGGGTGCAATTTAGCAATTCAATCGACAACGCTACGAGATGGTGATCAGTGCCACTGAGCTTAAAGACGATTTTGAGAAGATGAAATTTGGGGATCTAACAGAACTGGGAGAGAATGTAAGTGGAATATTATAATCAAAGATCTTGAAGATTTTTTAAACTTAAAATGTTAAATTTCAATAGCCAAATAAACAATCATATCGAATTCTAGGGTGTCACTCTTTCCGGTGGTCAAAAAGCTCGAGTTGGTCTTGCCAGAGCGCTCTACCAGGTAGGTAAAAATATCCAACAATAAAAACTTTTTCAATTTCAGGATGGAGACATTTTCCTATTCGATGATATCTTTTCCGCTGTTGATGTTCAAGTTGGAAAGAAAATTTTCGATAAATGTCTATCTTCAACGGGAATTCTTGAAGGAAAGACAAGAGTCTTGGTCACTCATGGTTTCTTTTTGTCTATACAGAAAAAAAAACAAAATCTCTCAGGTATCAAGTATGCAAAGGAGTGTGATCAGATCATTTTGATGAACAATGGACAAATTCGAAAGATTGGGATATACTCGGAATTGGTTGATCATTAAAATTTTAGGTTTAAAAGAGGATTTAGGAAAATGATGAAGTTTTCAAAAAACTACTTCACCAGAGCTCAGATAGTTCAACAAATGGATTTTCCAATAAAAATTCCGAAAGTGGGTTTAAATAATTGATTAACTATATTATAATTTCAGACGACGAAGACGAAGATGAGATTATTCCAAAGAAAGAATCAGTGATAAAAGGAGAAGATTTTGGGAGAATAATTCAAAAAGAGAACGCTGAAACTGGAAGGGTTGATACCATTATAAAATGATTCTAAAAAGCAAATTTTAGGTGAAAAACAAAATCTATTTGTCCTATTTCCGTTTGATGCCACTTCTCTTGATCATTTTCCTGATCTATGGTCAGATATTCAGCACCGGATTCAGTGTTTGGCGGGCGTTGTGGTTGGCTGATTGGTCAACCGAATCGCAACACGGAATTTCGAAGGATGACACAAAATTTCGATTCTTTGGCTTCACTTTTCTGGGAGCATTGGAGGGTGAGTCTTTAACGTAATTTGCAATAGAATACAAGGTTCACTTACCTGTTTTAACGGTACTCTGATCGTGAGATCTTGACGGTATATTTACCAAGACTGGGACCAGTACGATTAAATATACAAGTGATGCTTAAACAATTGTTGTGACATTTAAAGGATAGCTAAATTTGCAGTTTTCTTCTTGACCTTCTCATTCATCAGTCTGATTATCGGTTGTCAAAAGGTTTCTCTCAAAATTCACTATCCATTTCTCCATGCTGTCCTTCGATCCCCGATGGCTTTCTTTGACACAACGCCAATTGGACGAATATTGAATAGATTCTCAAAAGTATTTGATTTTTCATTTGTTATTTTAATGCTCATTTAGGACTTGGATTCTATTGATAACAAATCACCCAAATCCTTATCAGAGATTCTTCAAAGAGTTGCTGATGTAAGTTATTGGTCTTGGAAATAAAACAATAATGTTCGACCTGAGTTGAGAACTTTAAAATTTAAAAAAATCAATGACTTTAGGTTGTCTCAAACGCCATCCGTATCTGTCTTGCCATTCCACCGTTATTAGTCCTCATTGCACCATTCTTTCTGCTCAACTTTTTGTATCTGGTAACAAAATCCTATTTTTCACTTCTTAAACATTAGTTCAGAGATTCTATCTACGAGGTGCTCGTCAATTGAATCGCCTCAGCTCACTTCAAAGATCTTTACTGATCGCAAAGTTCCGTGAGACAATTCAAGGTGTTACAAGTATTCGCGTCTTCAAAATGGTTTGAAAATTTTCAAAACTCATAAAATAAACGATTTTAGGTAAACAGTGAAATCGCAGAGTTTTCCCGTTTTGTTGACGGAGTTACTATTTGTAATTTTGCCTCCTTCGGGTCAAGTCGTTGGCTGGAGATCAGGTTAGGAACTTGTTACAGAATTTGCTCAATCTTATGATTATATCAACATTCAAAGCTACTAGGCTAGCTAGCTCACCTTCACCTAACGCATTGCTCAAACTTTGTAGAGTAAACATTTCTATTCAGACTGGAACTCCTTTCAAATTCTACAATCTTCCTAGTGGCCTTGTTTGGAATATTGATGTCAAGAGCTAGTGCTATATCGCCAGCATTGCTTGGCTTATGTATCACTTCAGCAATGGCGGTTGGTAAAACTTTCTAAAAAAAGGATATAAAGTTTTTGAGCTGAATTTTTTAGTCATTCAGACATTTGTTGAAAGATTTCCAGATAACTGAACGATTATACTTGGGTATTAAAGCTTTCGGGCACTTGGAAACAGAAGCAGTTTCGATTGAGAGGATCTACGAATATACAAAGTTGCCTTCAGAGGTAAAATTCTACACTATTTCTTTATACAATTTTTGCCAGAAACCATGGAAGAACGATTTTGAGCCGCCAAGAAATTGGCCACAAAATGGAGGAATAATTTGGAGTGATTACTCAGCCAAATATCGGTATACTTGTTCTTGTTTAATGAAAACGGCAATAAATTTTTAGACCTAATCTCTCTTTGAGTCTGAAGAATGTGAATGTTTCAGTAAAACCAGGAGAAAAGATTGCGGTCATCGGGAGAACTGGGTCAGGTTGGTGGCTAAAAATTAAAATCAAGTGCTGACAAAAGTATAAGACGATGCCAGATTGGCCACAAAATACACCAATCATGTTTCTGCATATTCAGGCAAGAGTTCCCTTTCTCTATCATTGTATCGAATCTTTGAAAGCGCTGCTGGTAGAATTCTGATTGACGATATTGATATCTCAACACTTGGACTTCATGATATCAGGAAAAAGCTGACAATCATACCACAAGTAGGGTGTATTGAAATTTCAATAGTTTTCTATTTGAGGACCCAATCCTTTTTTCTGGTACAATCCGTTTCAATCTGGATCCTTTCAAGAAATTTGATGACGAAAAGATTTGGGAAGCTTTAGAGGTTTGAATCGAGTAAAATATTGAACAAGAAAGTTTTTCAGAAATGTCAGCTGAAAAAATGTTTTGCTGAAAGTGCAGAAAAGCTTGAATACAAGATTGAAGAAGGAGGGAATAATATGAGGTTCGGATTGAGGTGCGAGAAAAGAGAAAAGAGGAAAGAGTCATTTTAGTATGGGACAACGACAATTGATCTGTTTGGGAAGAGCTTTGCTAAGGAAAACGAAGATTTTGATCTTGGATGAGGTAAGGGGATTGTTGATCAGATTAAGGGTAAAGCTGTTGATTGTTTTGTGCACTGGGTTATTAATCTTAATCAAGATAGAGATATAATCTGTTAAAAATGCATAGCTTGTAAAGTTTCTATTTCCAAAAACTTAATAGGCTACTGCTTCCTGTGATCCGAACACGGATCGTCTCATTCAAGAAGTGATTCGTCGAAATTTTGCCGATTCATCAGTGCTGACGATTGCTCATCGATTGGAAACCGTTTCCGACTATGATAAGTTTGTTGAAAGAAATCCATTCGAATAAATATTAGAATACTAGGGTTTTAATTTGATATTAAATGACTGGAAAGTTCATTTCTACGTATAATTTCAGAGTGATGGTTTTTTCTCACGGTGAAATCGTTGAATTCGATCAAGCTGAACGGCTACTTGCCAATCCCGACTCTTTCTACACAAAAATGCTGAGAAGCTATTATCGAAGTGAATAGAATATTAGAATTAAATAAATTATTCGTTTTTGAGTGTCATGAAAAGTTTATTGAGACTGAACTATTGATCTACTGAGTAGATTTCATCAATCGTTTTCTTTAACTTGTTTTCATAGAAGTCTTGATCAAAGTCATTTCTCAGCTGTTTAATGTATCTAGAACTTTAAAAAGTCGATATTTTCTGGAAAAGTCTAGAAGAAAATTGAAAAACCTGCTCACTTTTCCAATTTGTATTTCCGTTCATCGACAAGCGGTCTATGATAAAAACAGAGATCTTGTTCATAGGAGAAATAGCCAAATAAGAAGTTATGACAGAAAGATCTCTAAAGAATTTCTTGAAAATTTGATTTTATAACTTATTTCTTAAAGTTTAATCTTTAAAGTTTTTAGTTTTTTTACCTTAAAATCCAAACGATGAAGGTCAAAAGTGTTTTTGACTAGCCGAACGATAAATTGTCGATTTTGTTCATCAGCTGGAATGAAACCAGACGATTCGGATTTCATAAATCTGAAAATTATCTAAAATTTACAAACACCAACAAAATAAACAAATATTCATAAACATGAAGGTTTAGAAAGGATGTGTTTAACTTAAGAGTACAAAGAACACTGGAAACAAGGCACTGCAAATCCTCTATTAGAGCGGCACCCTCTAATAGAGCGGTACCGCTCCAGTGTAATTTGTCCTCTCTAGAAATTTTTTCAAACATGGATTTTTTATTGTTTTTTTTTATGTTTTATTCCATAGATATAGGCTTATATTTTATAAGTATCAATGGGAGTAAAATTGAAAAAGTAGATTTTGAAAAAATCAAAATTTTTCCGAAAAAAAATGACATTTTTTGGGATCGACCTCGGATAGGGTCCGGGACCGAATTTGGTTTTCATTTAAATTGTGTTTTTCGGATGTTCTGGCGCAAGTGCTACTATTTAAAATAGTTTTTAACAAAAAAAATATTTTTTGAACCATGTGTTCCCCCCTTACCAATTTTTTGAGATCGAAAAATAGAGGATTTACGGTATGGATAATATAAACACTCTTTCTAGTGCACTGAATTAAAATGAGTTGAGTGCGCCAGAGATGGTGTAGATGGTGTATTTACATTTCGAAGCACAAAGCACACCTGTACACTTTGTGAAATCTCGCACTTGCCCACGTTTTCCACTGGTTTCTTCTAGCAGTGATCCGAATTTTCCTTTCACAGACATCTTGCAAGCCATTGAGCAAATCAATCAAGTAGATCTGAATTGAATGATTGTACAAAAGAAAAATAATACAACTTCTTTTGTGACTGGATCTTCGTAAAGGGAAAGCGAGTTGATCGTGAACTCCAAACCAGTCGCGTTTACTTCATAGCTTTCATTCCAATGGACAACATCGACCGCTTCAAACATGATAGATCTTAGAAAAAGGTTTATTTAAAAAAAGGCTTATTACTGTCTATCCAAAATACAGTCGACTCTCGATTTAACGATCCTAAAACGTGCCCCAAATTTTTTGCGTAGCTGCCTTGAACGACCAACGATTGCGTTTGGCTGGGCAGCTACGCAGAAACCAAGGATGTGTTTTAGAATTTGAAAATCGTTGTAATAAGAGTCGTTAAATCTTGACTTTGACTGTATTTCAAAAGAATCTTAGAGTAAACCAAACTAATAGTAAGTCAAAAGTCCAAAACACCCACCCATTTTCTTCATCTCCTCCATTCCCAATTTGTAAATTGACACTTTGTGAACTCGATTTGTGGCAATTATCTCTAAAGTGCAACTTTTTCAGCCAATCTCATGAAACTACCTCCCATAGCGTCCATTGCACAAATGTTGAAGGAATTTCATGTCACAAGTTACTCGTCCATCGATATCACGCGGGAATTTGCTTAAAACTAAACCAATTTATGACACCTTTAGATTTCTAGGTTAATATTAAGATCAAAAACCTTAAAGTTTTGCGATTTTAATAGGTGGTTTTGATTTTTACTCGTTTACAGTAACAAATCATACCCAAATCCCGAACCGCACCCCCTTGAATGATAAAGAAACAACCATTCAAATCCATAAACGCTTTCATTTCTTCTATCTACAAATGAATTTACTTTTAATCTTTTAATCTTTTCATTTCATTGACCGTATCATTCAATCCTCGAACTTGGTGTATTTTCACAAAATTCCATGCATTTGTTAATTTCTCTCCACGATAAACTTTGGCTTTTGGGTAGATTCGCCATGGATTCCAAATATGAGTTAATGTTTTCGGTAAATTGATTTCCGTTTTGTTAACCTAAAGATGTTTTGAGATTAAGACAAAACATTATCTTTGGGTTAAAATTGGACAAAGTTTACTTGATACCTCTGTTAGTTGTCCACAGAGTTTATCACACTTTATAATAGCAATATTAAATATTAAAAAGCCAATAGGCATCCACAATTGAGACATTTCAAATAAAAATGTCCCAACTGCATTTGGATATCTTGATTCTCTATTTTTATCAATTGCCCGAGTCGTTTCTCGCATTGAAAGTGCATTCACAAAAAAAATACTTTCATTTCTTTGACAAGTGTTCGTTTTTCATTTGTTATCGATTGTAGATTTCTAAAATCAAAACAAGGTTTATTTCTTTCGATTATACATTTCTTCAATAGCTCTTTTCAATTTCGTTTGAAAGAACTCAAGATCAAGGTCGGATTTCAAAGCGGAGATGTATCTGAAAAATTCGGATTAGAATCTATTTACAAAAAAAGTTTTTACTTTTGCATTTTGTTTATTTTTGCATTGGTGAGTTGAGGGTGAATGCATAAGTCTTCAGGCAATAAATATTGGCCGTCAAGATAGTGATGACAGAAGAAACGCTGAAAATGTATATGTGGATTGGCAAGTGATTTTTAGCTATAGCTTTAGCTATAAGTTATAACTGAATCAGATTGCTTGAACTCTTAAACTAGCTTTCAAAACCTTGAAATCGTGTCTTTGCGTCTCCCAGGTCTTCATGATTGATTGAATGATAAAATCGAAAGTTTCCCGATCTGCTGTCACAAAGCCAGCTGCTTGAGCTTTCATGAATCTATGTATTGATGATCTTTGAAATATCCAAATCAAATAATCCAAGCCTCAAAGATATTTGATTTCAAAAGTAATTTAATTAAGAACTTAAAGCGGTTTGGGGTACAATATGTTTCATTCATTCTATGATAGAAATTATATTTTATAACCAGCCACGAAACTTACTATAATAAATACTACTATAATAAAAGTTACTATAATAAAAGCATACTATAATAAAAGTTTGTTTTTTAGTAAACAAAAATCATTTGTGTGCTTTAACTCTAAAAAACCTGTAAAGTTTTCTCCGCTTAAAAGTTGCCCAAGCACCCCAATCCCTTTGATCCACGGGAATCCGAATTTTCCGCTCACATAAATCTTGAAGAGCAGAACCAACAATGTCAAGCAAATACACCTAAAGCTTTGAATTTGAAATTCTTCAAATTTTCAACCTACATACCTTGTCCGAGTCACTGTAAAGACCTAAAGAGTTTATCGTGTACTCTAATCCAGTCCCATTTTGTCCATAAGTATAACTCCAAGCAATCGCATCAACTCCGTTAAGATATAGTCCCCTATAAATGCATTTGACTAATCAAAAGATGAACATACTTTGCGTCGGTGTTTTCTATAGGTGGTATTTCCAAAACTTTAGCATCAGGGAGGATTACACGACATTGTTTACTAAAATTTTTTTAAACTTTACAAGTAGAGATGTTTCAAAGAGTTATGGGCCTGGTAAAATCCAGGCCAAAGCCCTGAACAGATCTGATTGATCTGACTTTTAACCAGAAATATAGCCATTTTTAGCAAAACAAAGATGACTCGCTAAACTATTAAAAGCCAAACTAGCTGATACTTTTACCATCTAAAAAGTTGTGATTCAATTTTAAAGTTTTACTAGCTTTTAAGTTTGCTTTTACAGAATTTAGAAAGAATTTAGATCAATTTAGACCCTTTAAGATAACTTTAAGAGATCTTTTCTTTAAGAGAATTGATTTAAATTGGAACCTAATATCTTACCGGCAAATGGGTAAAGTAGTTAACATTTTAACAGGATTTCCAACCAAATATCTTCTTTGTATCATCTACAAAGCAAGATACCGTATTCTCTCTAAAAGTAGTGCACCCCGCCGAGTTTATGACTATTTTACGGTTTTTAAGTTTTCACAAAAGCTCAACACTCAAATCCCCCACAAGATCTCATCATCAGCTACATTTTCCGACCACACATCGATAGGTTCTGATAAGCACTTTTCGAGATTTCGAGCAATTTAGGGAACGCTTAGGGTGCACTACTATTAGAGAGAATACAGTAGTTTTACATATTTTAATATTTCATTCGAAAGATTCACGGTTCATAGCGAGCGTCACATATCTCTTTCAGTCGAGGGATTTCACATGTGACTACTCCATCAAGATCATTCGGAAATTGTCCCAACACTAAAAATGGATATTTTCATTTAAAGAATATGGCACAAAGTTATAAATTCTAGCAATAATCAAACCCAGATCCCGAGCTGGACCTCCGAATGGAAAAAAGGTGCACTGGTTTAAGTGGAAGTAGTTCAGTAAACCATCAATCTGGAAACTTTTACTAGCAAATAAAACTCTACAAACCGTTTCATTTAATCCTTTTATTTGATGAGTTTTGATGTGCTTCCAAGCTTTGGTTAATTCATTTCCCGTGTAGACTTTGGCTTTTGGAAAATTCTCCCACGGAATCCAGCGTTGTCCATTTTCAAAGGGCAAATTGATAGTATTCTTGTCGATCTATAATACTCAAATTAGCAGTTGATTTAAGGTCAAATCTTCAATATCATTGTTGAACAAAAATAACCTCCTGCAATTGACCACAAAGATTTTTTAACTCAAAAGCTCTTGTGCTTGAAAAGCAAAAATACAGCCAAAAAATCAGTGAAATCATTTTTTCAGGTTGGTTTTTCAATGACTAGGTTATAAGCAGGCATTTTTTTCTTTCCTAGATTTGAGAGAAATACGGATAAAATATTGCTCACTTGTTTTCTGAAAAACCTTTTTCACTCAAATACACAAACGGAAAAGACGGTTAAAAGATGGTTTGATATTGAGTACGAATTGAGAGCATGATCACACAAGTTTTAGACTAGATTTGATTCGATTTTTTTTTTGATATAAAAGATAGGAAATTTTTATGAACTTTAAAGCAATTCAATCAATAGAACCAATTTTGCGACTGATTGTGTAATGTAAATATTCTTGAATTAAGCTTATGAAGCTGTACGCATGGGAGGAGGCTTTTGAAGAGCGGATTGGTGAATTGCGAGCACAAGAGGTTTTAAGGCAATAAATGAACAAAAAGGAGAATTTTAGGTAACAATGATTAAACGGGTCAACGTCATTTCTCAGATCAATTTGGCTGTGATTGAAGCCTCGATTTTCATAGTGGGTAGACTTTGACGGCAATCATTAAGGAGTTCAGATGATTCTCGTTGTGTTTGAAAAATTTTTAAACTCAACTTATTTAGATAATCTTCGGCACGGCGATGTTAACAATATTGTTGGGTACACCTGGGTTAAGCGTTTTGGTGATCGTTTGTTTGATCATTGTGTTCAATGTTTTTGTGACAAAGTTGATCAAAAAGTATCAGCAACAACAGATGAAAATTAAGGATGAGAGGACAAAAATGTGCAATGAAGTGAAAAATAAAGAGTTTTTTTGTAAATTCTACTGTTTAGGTTTTTCATGGAATAAAGCTTATTAAGCTGTACGCATGGGAGGAGGCTTTTGAAGAGCGGATTGGTGAATTGCGAGCACAAGAGGTTGACCAAGAGGTTGACCATAAATGACCAAAAAGGAGAATTTTAGGTAACAATGATTAAACGGGTCAACATCATTTCTCAGATCAATTTGGCTGTGATTGAAGCCTCGATTTTCATAGTGGGTAGACTTTGACGGCAATCATTAAGGAGTTCAGATGATTCTCGTTGTGTTTGGGCTATGCATTTGGACACTAGAAGAGGGACATGATTTGTTGAGGCCAGAGGTTTGTTCAGCAGTTGAAAGTTGATGTTAGATTTGGACTTTTCTAGATTGTATTTGTTGCGATCTCGATTCTTCAACAACTCAAAACACCAATGAGAAAAATTGCCAAAACAGTCACTTTCCTAGTTCAGGTACGATAGTTTTTGATCAACGAGCCTCTCTTGCATTTTATACAATCTGCATTTTAAAGGCTAGACAAATTAAGACATTTCCATGAACTTTAAAGCAATTCAATCAACAGAACCAATTTTGCGACTGATTGTGAAATGTGAATATTCTTGAATTGTTGGAGTCGATTGGTTGGTTAATTCCAATGAAAAGCAAAAGATCAAGAATTGCTTTTAGCAATTTCTCCCAATCCTACTGAAAGTATTGATAAATGAAAAAAGGAGGCATAGTTTATAGACTTGTTTGGGGAATTTCCCTTGTTTTCGGATTGATCTCTGTTCAACGAGGAAAAACAGTTTTGTTTTTGAAATAAGCTGATTAAATTTCTTCTACAAACGTGTAGATCGGGTAAGTACGATTTGGGAAAAATAGGGAGAACAAAAGCTCTTAAGCTTATCATCGGAAAGATTTTTGTAACATGTTTAAAGTTACTGTAAAGTTTCAATGTAAGTCCTAGTAGAGATAGCTGTAAGGTCACAGTATAATTTTCGTGTATACAGTGATTTAAGATATGAGTGCTGAAACAGGGCTGGAAAGCTGCGATTTGATCCAAACTGAAAGCTCTCAGTTAGGTAGATTCAATACATAAATAGCTCCAAACGATTGCACAACCCCGAAAATCCTCGGGTACAAATTTCCAGCTCTCTATCTTTTTTTAGACTATCTTCAATGCAAAAAAACTCCCTATGTAAATGCTCATGGTGCCGAATAATCGCTCTCAATCTGGCATACCCTTTATAGAAGCCTCCCTTGTGGAATCTATAAAAAGTAAGGATCGGTGAGCGACTGAACTGCTTTCTGAGCGTTACTATGCTCAAAACAAGGTTGAAATTGACCCAAAAAGAGTTCAAATTAAAGCCAAAAATTAACAAATAGACAGCCAACATTTTTTAGTTCACCATCCCAATGAACTAACAAACAAGCCAGTCTGTTTTTTTTTCTCGGATTAATCAGTGACCTATCAGACAAAAGAGAGCTGTTCGGTAAAAGCGAAGAGTTTGTTTTTGTGTTATGTTCTCTGAAATGAACGATCTCCTTTCCTTTATTCCTGGATCTCTTGTTTTGCTTTGCAGAGTATAAATGGGAAGTGAAACTTCAGTAAAGTATACACAGTTTCGTTTTCTATTCAAAATTTGAATCTTCTATTTGTTTCTTAGTTTAGATCAATTGCGAGCTTTGTTTAATCTGTTTCTTGTCTTAGAATTTTCAAAAATTCATTAAAATTGAAAATTTTTGAAGTTACGATTACGTTTGACACTGCGTTTGACACGTTTGATAAGCTTTTCAATAGTATTTGCTTGTTTTGTATTCAATTTAAAAAGTTGAGTGTTTAATATTAGAATTCACTTATGGATAAACAGTCTTGAATCGATCGATATTTCAAGAATTACAGGGTGCGTCATAATTATTGCAACAATAGTTCAAAGACCGTTTTCCAAACAGCTTTCTTATTTTTTTTTGCCCCCTTTTTTGTTGTGTTGCGTTCTATCTTCTTTATTCTTGCCTAATTGCCTCCCGCTCACACGAAGAAGACGGTTCAGGACTGGTGTGTGGCCAACTTTCCCTCAGTGATCACCAAGGATGAATGGCCTCCAAGCTCACCGGATCTCAATGTGATGGACTTTTCCATTTGGGCAATCTTAGAGGCTAATGTCTGCTCTTTGACCTTGAAGAAGTCTTTGACCAAAGGATGGAAGGCGACTCCTCGAGATGACATTCGGGCCGCAGTGGAGGCATATCCGAACCGATTAAGGGCTGTTATCAAGGCAAAAGGCGGTCATATCGAATGATCTCTTGTTTCCTTATTTTTTTACTGTTAAATAAAGCTATTTCTGTTTAAAAATCTTCTTCCAGTGAAACTTCTTGGGGTGCAATGCCTTGAGTATCTTGTTGCAATAATTATGACGCACCCTGTAAATAACCGAATTGCTTAATTCTCACAGAAACTGCTTTTAAAAATTAGCCCCCTAAAGTGAAAGAAACTTGACTTGTTTACTTGTTTACGATTTCTATTTCTATTAATCACTTCACTCAATTTTCTATTCACTTTTCAGATTAACGATCAAACAACTTTCTCTAAACCCTAAAATGAAAGAAAGAAATTGTATCGACGACTTTTTGGTGATGGGAAGACATGGATTGCTTACAGCTATTCTAATTGAGGTTCGCAATGCCAATTAATGATCACATTGATCACATTGATCACATTGATCACATTGATCACAATAATCACATTGATCACATTGATCACATTGAAATTTAGTTCATCATGTTCATCGAGTGCGGAAATGTGTTGTTCATGGTTTTTGCTGGTCTGTCAAAGCAAAGAAAAATTAGCAAATCAAAAGTTCAGGTGCTAATGTACGAATAGATTGTGGTGAAAGTATAACTCCTAACTTGATGTGTATCGACTTTGAACAAGGAAATTGTTCAAATGCTAGCATCACTTGGGAATTCTATTCGATTAATGCAGAGGTATTTTTCTATTTACTGACAATTTGGTTAATTGATTAAACAAAGCACAGAATTGATTAATTGGCTAATTGATTAAACAAAGCCCTGACTATGAGTCAAGTTCAATCCGTAAACTAAACTCTAGGGACGGTAGAATTTTGTTGACAAAACTTTTTGAGACAACAGAGTATTCAAAGGTTCAATTGAACACTCTGGTGTCTCTGTCTCAAGAAACCACAAGTTGTAAGCTATGAAGAAGCTGATAATGGAGCTGATTTATAATTGATTTACACGTTTATAAAATGACTGAATTGATTGATTTACAAAATGGGAAACGTAGAAAGTTTTCACGTGTACCAAAAACGAATAAATAAGTCATATTAATAAATTCAATTCTCATCTTAATATCAAGAAGTTAACTTTTCCAAACACAAAATTTTCAGTGGTCTCTTTTCTGTAGTAAAAGTGTTCTCGTCAAAGACTCGATTTCTTATCAGGTAAACTCTTGTTTTATCACTTTCAAGATGAAAATCTTCAGATGATTGGTCTCTTGATTGGTGCAATTCTTTGGGGACGAGTTTCTGACATTTACGGGAGAAGAATTGTAAGCAGAAGCAAAACCATTTCATTAAATCACTTTAGACTATGCTCATTTGCCTAAATTTCTGTGGCGTTTTCGGTATTGCATCCGCTTTTGCCCCTGATTTGACAACTTTTACAATCTTGAGAATTTTCGTTTCCTTCTTCGCGGTTGGAGCCGGGATGTGAGTTAACAGCTTTCGAAACATTGTCAAGATATCTAATAAAATTTTTAATTTCTCATTTAGAGTCGTTGCCTCATTCTTTGGCGAGTTCTTCCCATCAAAGCATCGCCTCTGGCTCGCGTTTGTTCTCAGCTGGTCACCAAATCTCGTTCTTGTCGCTGGTTTAGGTTTGGTACCACAACAAATATTAGTCATAAATCAAAGCTGGGTAGATTTTGCTAAATCTAGATTTATTCGGAATCTTTTATTTGCTTAGTTTTTGTTCTGGGATACAAGCCGGTTTATAGTAAAAAAAGAGTTTACAGATATCAAGTATGAATTAGTATCAAATCAAAATTCATCCCTTTGAGAATTACCCTCCAATTTTCTAAATGATCAACTCTGTAGCATTTTTGAGAATTCGAAGAATCATAGATTAACTACAATAAACTTTATTTTCTATAAGTGTTTAGCTTACCTACTGAGCACATGGCGAAATCTGGCTTTTGTCATCAACATTCTCAACTTCCCCGCTGCTCTCCTTATGTGGTAAGTATTCCAAGCACGAAAAAGTCAACTTTTCAAAACAGGTTCATGTGTGAGACACCACACTATTTGATTCAAAGTGGGAATCTCAAAGAAGCTATTCGATCATTTGAAAGATTCCATAGAGTAAGACAAAAGTAATCTATTCGATTACCATATTTATAGATCAATGGAAGCAAAATCGTTGAGAACGATTTGGCGAAAATTATTCACAAAGAAACGGTTTGTTGATTTAATGTGGATTTCTTATTGAAATTTTAGGGAACTGAGTCTAAACCGTGCTCCTTTTTACACCTCTTCTCTACTCCGCGCCTCGTTTTGTACACAATAGCAATCTGTTACAGCTCGTAAGTGATAACAATATTATTTTCAAAGATTTCTTTTAGCTTTGATGTTGGTTTGATGAGCTATTCACTGTTATTCAACTTCGAGAAAATCTCGGGATCTCTTTATGAAAAGACTTTGATGATCGGTGGTCTTCGGTTGATGTTCGATTTGCTTTCTGCGGCAGCTGATTATAAATTTGAGTGGCTTGGCCGTAAGGTCAGTTTTACATTTGAATTTGGATGTAATTTATGTTCACACACGGAAACACAAGCGTCCTCAATTATTTGATGTGTACTTTTTGTTCAATAGATGTAAAGAAAACTCTTCACTTTTTTCCAACAAAAGGAAAGAATTGGTGCACTAGTAATGTTAGGTTTCCATTTTTGTTTACAATCTGTACAAGTCTAAATCTTGTTCATTCAATGTTTACTTCAGACAGTCCATAAAATCGTCTGTTTGGCAACAATGGTTGTGCTCTTTCCATTGATGTTCAGTGATTACTTTGCGATTCCTGAATGGATTGTTGAATATCTTTTCTTGATTGTTGCTTCAATGATTGTTCAACTTTACGCAATTGTGGAGATCATTTGCAATGAGGTTTGAAAAAGAGAAATGATTGAAAAACAATAAGTACTGCAATAAAGCCATCAACAAAAAAATAGCCAAGGTAAGTTTCTTCTCAAAATTACATAAAACGATTTAAAATTATCTAGGCTTTAAGTTAAAATGCGAACTAAAACGTTTCAATTCATAAAATTTCAGATTTTCCCCACTCCACTTCGGAACACTTCTTACGCTTTGAGTCAATTCATCGAAGCTTTTGCCTCAATTCTTGGTCCACAGATTTTTGTTTGGGTAAGTGAATGAGATAAAGTTTTAAAATATAGTTTTATAGAGCAATAACACAACATTCTTCCCAATCATTCTCATGTTGATTTGTTTATTCACCGACCTTCTCTTTTTTCATTACACTGTCCCGGAAACGAGGGGTAAACCGTTAGCCAATCGAATGCCCGAAGAACATCAATGTTTCAGAATATTCAGAAGCGAAGAGTGAGTTGATTTTGAAAATAACAAGAACAAATTGATATCAGAAAACGAGAATCCTCTTGCATTTCTGAAAATGGAAGCATTTACTCGACGACTTCTTCAAGAAAAGCTTTAATGTTCGTGTGATTTTTGATAAGTATAGGTGTTTAATAAATTTATTCTCAAATTAGAATCAAGAAAGTACAAGAAAAGTACAAGAATGTACATGAAAGTACAAGAAAATCTAATACATTTCAATACATTTAGTGCTGATGAAACACTAACAATGACAAAAGAGATATAAAAAGCGGACCAATTTAGAGTTATTTAATCTTACAATCATTAATCTTGTAAACAATCGCTTCTAAAGAAAAGTAATGCCACAATCCTTATTTCCAAGATCTTTCCAAGATATTTCTCTTTATAAGTAGAATGTTTTCTATTTTGTCTTTTACGAATGACTCTCACGTGTAAAGAAAATTGGGAAAAATGGCTATTGATTACTCTCACAAAAAGTGCTTCATGATTTTCGAATTCCCCAAAATTCCTGAAAAGCTTCAAAACTCTATTCTTAACTCATTGGGAGTTAGAGAGAAATTCAAATTATTGTTGGTGAATAAAGAATTGAGGAATTTTGTTCTCACAAATGGTCCTTTATCAAAGATGATCAAGGATTTCGAGTTTAAAGTTTTCGATTTTGAATTTCAAGATATGGATGCTGCAAATGGTTTGTGATAAACTTAAAAAAGAGAAAATTTTTTATCGATTTCATAAACTTTTCTTATCAAAGCAATAAGCTTCAAGAAAATTTCAAGATCTTCAGTTACTAATATTGGTCTTTGTGTCTGTTCTTTTTTATAAACTACTATAATTTTCTCATTTTGCTTTATCCAATCTATCTACTCTTAGTATCTTTAGGTATACATTATGAACTCTCAAAGAACCAAAAATCAAATATAGATAAGTGGATAAAAGTGGTAGTAAGATAAATAGTAAGCAAGTTATTTTCAAAGTTTTCGACTTTAAATATGAAGAAATGAATGCTGCAAATGGTTTGTGATAAACTTTAAAAAGAGAAGAAAACTTTTTATCGATTTCATAAACTTTTCTTATCAAAGCAATAAGCCTCAAGGAAATTTCAAGATCTTCAGTTACTTATATTGGTGTTTTTGTCTCTTCTCTTTTGTAAACTACTATAATTTTGCTTTTACTTTATCCAATCTATCTACTTTTGATATATTTAGATATACGTTGTGAACTCTCACAGAATCAGAAATCAAATATAGATAAGTAGATAAAAGTAGTGGTAAGGCGTAGTTTCAAAAAAAAAGGCACTCTTTAAAAAGCAGACACTCTAAATGTTTTACAGTACTGTAATATTATCTGATAATATATTTCTCTAGCTAAAAAGATTCAATATCTTAACGCCTGTTGCCTTTATGAAACGTAAAAATTTCAGGGTCAATTTTGATTGACGTGTTTTTACAAACGAATGACGCTGTGATAGCCACGTATTTCATTGTCGATACCTATGTTTTTATGAAACCGAAGAACGACTTCATTGCAAAAAGCGCTTGGAGAATCTTTAATCAAATCGAGTTTTGTCAAAATTTGAGAGTCACCCTTGATGTGAATCATCAAGAAATCATGAAAGCGATCTTTCAGTCAAAATTTCTCCCAAATCTCTATCATTTGTCGAATTTCCAAATGAAATCAACGATTAAGCTGGCTGAGCTGATGTTTGACAATTTTAGACCAAAGATCTCAAACAAATGCATACTCGGGTTCAAAGGTGAAAACAAATTCCCAGCTAATTTTTTCAGAAGTGGATTTATGAAGGAAAACTCGAATAAATGCAAAATTCTTGTGTACGAAAAAACACCTGAAATTTCACGAGTAACTGGAGAGTTTCTCAACTTTGGCAATTCGAATCCGAGTGATTTTGAGGCTCAAGGATATCGAGTGCCGAGGAGTAATTTGTGAAAATTTTAATCCTTTTTCTTATGTGCTTGTTATTTTTCGTTTTTTGTTAAATCGTCCTCTTTCACTTTTCAATAAATTCTTTTTTTTGCATCTATCTAACAATTGTAAGTTACATTCGGATTCGGTTTTTGTTTTTGACTTCTTGGAAAATTTAAACTCTGAACTAATTTTTCTCAGGATCAAATGGCACGATTCTCTTGAATACTTGCAAAGCTCAATTTTTATATATATGCTTTATTCATGGGGCGAATAGAAGCGAATCAGATAATCATAACTGCATATAACATATTGCTACAATACTCTCACCGAAAAAAGAGAGAAAACTAAAGATAGTACAGTAAGAGTACAGTTAGGAAACAATTTTTGAAGATTCTATTGGTAAAAATTGATTTCGTATAATTATTTAATGCTTTTCTCCAATTGAAAAAAGCAGATTTGATAAGGAAAATGATTTTGTTTTTAGAGGTGATCAAAAAAATTCAGAAGCACTTTATACAGATTTAGAATTCACTTTATACACTTTATACAGATTTAGAATTGATTCAAAAGGCCCGCTTGGAGCTCTCAAATTTTTGAATGAAAACTCAAGTGAAACAAAACTATTTTTTTCTGGAAATTTTTTGTTAGTGACTTACAATCAAAAGAATGCGATAAACTTGAATGTAAATCGGGAAAAATGGAAAACAATTTTCGAGAAAGATTTTCCTGAAGAACGGGTTTGTGTGTACATGTTGGCATTAGAGGAGTTGGAAGGACTCGAGTTTCCATATCGTCATTCAGCTACTGATTAAGTACATAAAAACAGCTACCATTGGCCTCTAAGCGTCAGTAACGGAACCATTTCTCAATTTTGATTTGGATTTCCTACGAACTCAACCAGTTATGGTTTGATAACTTGTATCAAAGCTGCGGGCATTCAAATCAAAGCTGCGGAACTCAAACCACTCCTGCAATTTTTGTATTAAAAGTATTTCATGTTCTTCACTATTTTGAAATGAAGTTTGCAAATTAGCCTAATCAGGAGAAAACAAAACATTGTGGTTTGACATGCTTTATTTATGGATTTTTTTATTTTACAGAATGAAGAGCGGATGATTTGAAGAGATACTAAGAATATTTTAAATAAAGTATTCCTTTTCCATTCAATCAAAGCAAAAACAACAATTCCTACTCAAGCAAACACTTTTTGGCGTTTTCGAAAGCTTTGTGCTCTTGGAGTGGCCGGCTGCCATAACTTCTCGACTTTAATCCCCGGGGCTTAGGTTTCGGGGCCAAATGAGCGGCTCAATAAGAATGTGAAACGCATTGAAACTATAGAATTTTATTGTCCATTCCAGATTTTAAATATTTTAAAAAACCTTATTATTCTTTGGGTTTTGAACTTGCAGGTTTCCAAGCGACGGTGAATTTTTAAACTCTTCCTTGTAAAGTTTGTCGTTTGCTGAAATTGGACGGTAGAACTTAAATGAATTTTAAAACAGAAAAAAATCGATCATCGAATTTTTCCCAGCACTTTTTAAAAGTAACAAAGTATTCTTGAGCAAACCCTGAAAGCCACAAAATCGAAGTCCATTCCAACATAGCACATGAAGAGACTCACTCTGTCAACATTGCCCTTTCTTCCTCTCTTTCCCCTCATCCAACTGTCCATGGCACCTCTTTTCTCCGTTTTTTTCTCGGTTCCAATCGAATCGACTGTAAATCGACACCCCAATCGACTGTTTCAAGCGTTTTTTTTTGTTCTTTTTATGCCAGTTGGACCCAAAGAAGAACTTGATGAGGGTAATGAGAAATAGATTTTAGGGTTTGGAGTTTACATACTAAATCTTTTACAAATCTCTATTCAATAACAATAAAACTTTCCTCTCTAATGTGATAACCTGCACAATAAGGAAAAAAAATTTCACAAACCCGATGGGAAGTGTAAGACTTTAATTAACCATTCACAAAGTTTCAGAATCCAATTCGGCATTAGAGGAAAGTAATGAGAAATATATTTTACGGTTTAGAGTTTACATGCTAAATCTTTTACAAATCTCTATTCAATAACAATAAAACTTTCCTCTCTAATGACGAATTGGATTCTGAAACTTTGTGAATGGTTAATTAAAGTCTTACACTTCCCATCGGGTTTGTGAAATTTGCTTTCCTTATTGTGCAGGTTATCACAACTTGACTCCTACAACTTGTAGTTATGACATGTTTGATGTCAATCATTTTCCAGCTAGCTGAAAACGTCATCCACCTTGTAGTCAAGCCCAACAAACCAACATTTTTTAGAAAAAAACTTAAAACAGGTGCTAAATCTGTCCCTCAAATCCAATGGCATTTCATTGGACTTCCTCTTCTTTTCTTCAAAGAACCCATTTGAATGCCTTCTTGCTCTCCTTTGTCGATCGGTAATTGGCGGTAGTCTCTCCTCTTTTCTACTCTTTTTCAAGGTTTCTCCCTTCATCGTCCCAAAAGCAATCACACAGCCGCAATTATTAATGTCTATATATGAAAAGACTCCAGTTTTGCTTCAAACCCTTCAATGGTTTTCCCTTCTTCAAGCTTGTTCCCCATTGAAGAGCCTAGCGGACTCCTCCAACTATCGTAATTGTCGTTGTGTGGTTTGGCAAAATACGTTTGAGCAAAAGGATTTCTTCTTCAATAACAGAGGTTTTAAATTTAGTTTCAAAGCGCTTAGATTTTTGAGAGGAAGTTATTTTCGCAAAAAGATTGCAAATTTCAGCACTTCCACTTTGCCGTCATAATTTTCAAAGTCATTTTTGAGAGTTTATTTTAAAAAGTGTTATTTTTTGACTAAAGACTGACCCTTTAGGATTTAAAGAAAAAAGAAAATTAAAGACTACACCTACTATCGGATTTAAAGAAAATCCGATAATAGGTGTAGTAATATGATTTTTGATGAAGTTTTATGTAGAAATTAAAAAGAAATTTACTTAATTATCTTGAAAATTCGTACTTCTCTGTATCCCTCTCAATTGTGCTAAGTTACTCAAGCTTAATGCAAATTTCAATCCAAATTAAACTATTCAAAGTAACAGGGAATCTTTTTGAGACACAAGTTTACCCACTAAAAGAATCGGTTCCACTTTTTCAAGTTGCTGAACTTTTTTAACAACTGAAGACTCTAAACTCAGTCCATTTGATATGATTTTAAGTTTACAATTGTCAACTCAAGCCCTGTCAAAAAAACATTTGAGTTGTTCATCATTTTCCCAAACTTTCAATCGAATAACCAAATCTGACTCCTTCTTTTATCTTCTTTTGAAGAAGTTGTCAAAACAGCCTCTAAAAGAATTGAGGAATAGAAATTCATTGTGGTTTTCTCTTTTAGAAACGATCCAAAGAGGGCAAATCCCTAAGGATCACCCGACAAAGCGAATATGTAACATTTGAGGGGATTCCCTCTAAGAAAAGGCAAAGAAAAAGACAGACAAGGGATTGACTTGTCTTCTCAAATGGAAATCCACCCCTCACACATGCACACACAAAAAGGTTAGACATCGCTCTGACCTTTGATGAGTCCTTTTTAGATTCAGGTTTTTGCATTCATCTATCGCTACTGTAGGTTGATTTTTTTTTTCATTCAAAAGTTAAAAGCTATTGGATTTTTGAATAAAAAATAACCTACACTAACATTTAAAAGCGGCGGCTGAAAGTTGTTCGAGCTTACACTTGTTCAAATTTTTCAACCGAATAGTTTGCATATATGAAATCAAAACCCTTTTATTCCATTTGTTTTTCAAATAATCAGACTTTAAAACTGGTTAGATGATTCATTTTCCTGGACTCTTCTGTGTATGCTTTAAAACTTTTTGCATATTGGCTAGAATTCACCTCAAAACATTGGAACACTGGGAGACACATTTGGAAATCGTTTCTTTTTCTCTTAACGACGGAGATCCATTGTTTCAATCTGGAGCTGCTAGCGGGTGCCTGGGTGTCCATTGTTCCCGTGGCTTTTCACGCCTATTCTCTCTATATTTCATTTGGCTCATTATTTTTGCCGGAAGAATGATTTGATTCTTCGATTTCATATTAAATAGATTTTGGACAAACTTAAAACCCTCGTGCTAAAGTTTTATGATATTTGACTTAACTAGTTGATCTGTCTTGGGCATTCAAATTATGAGTAGATAAGTTTTTCTGTTAAAAACTTTAGATCTAGATTACTTTTGAGGTTTTTACAAGCCAATCTTATGGGAAGGTAATATTTTGAACTCTTTGAGTGCACCTACAGCCGATTAATGCATGGGAAATGAGGGCCGATTTCAAGAGCTAGCTCAAAAATTCAACTGTTCGTAAATTTGGGGTTAGGTCCACTTGACGCTAGTGCCGGGAAAGGAAACTTGGCATAACCTTTGCTTCGGTGAGATTTTGTTTTAAGCTTATGAAAGTTCTTGCAGTTACCTACTTTAGTTCAAAATTCAAAACAGTTCATTTTGGCTTGTTTTCAACCCCAAAGCAGTCGCTTAGAAAGTGTAGAAATATTTATTGTTATTGTTATATTGTTGTTATTGTTGTTGTTGTTGTTGTTGTTGTTGCTGTTGTTGTTTTTATTATATTGTTGTTGTTATTGTTTTTCATTGTTTTTCAAACCCTATTGCTTATTCACTTTAAGACTTTGAACAACAAAATTACTGTCAAATTAAAGCGTAAGACACCTTGCTGAGTTGAAATACATGTCAGCGTCGCTCATTGGTAAAGAGTTCACCCAGTAAGCTTACACGTTTGAATCCCAGGGCCGACAATGTTCTCATTCCCACTGCAATACCAATATTCCCAACTCTAGCGTGTACAACTTTATTCAGCAAATTCAAGATACCAGTTTAAGTTATCAAACATTGATTCAAACAATCCAATCCAATTCAAAAGCTTTTCCGCAACTTTACTTTCATAGGAAGTATTGATCTTCTCATGGTTTCACCTGTTCGTACACTTTTTTGTGTGAGATTCATAATTGGACTTTATATCCTCTCACTTCCTAT